AATTTTTTTTTAAATGACTAATCGATCAGTAATAATATTTTCACTATTTGCCAACGAAACACGTTTTCCCGTCTGGTGCAGCCGTAATTGCTGGCCCGTAAATATATAACATACACAAGTATATATAAGTACCGTTGATCTATAGTGCTATTGTTAGTGCAGTTAATGAAAGTATTTATCGCCCGAAAATGTATACAATGAGACCGGAGGTGATTAAGTAATTTATAAAATACTTTATATAAATTAACCTACTGGAGTAAAATAATTGTAATAGGGCTCACGGACACCGGCACGCCGTTTATATTTAATGTGCGTATGATGATAAATTCTAAAATGGAAATCGAACCATTTGTGTGCTCCGACGATCGGACGCTTTTGAAAAAACTCAAAGAAAACTAGTTTATTTTAATATTATCATATTATTTTAACTTCGATATTGCGGGGTGTTAATATATTATTTTATAGTATAACCGCGTCTTTATCGTTTTTACGGAACTGCAGGCTTTCGTCCAGAATGAGAGACGTCAGACGATGGACGTACAAGTACCGCACACCAATGGAGGCCTGTAAATTGTAATTCGTATTTAAATATCGCGAAAATCGAGTATATACAGAGTGTTCGCAGTATTCAAACTCGTGCATAGTCTTCCGCCCGTGAATCGTCGAATAATTACGCGTGTACGCATGCATTTCTCTATAACGTTTACAATGTGTTCTATATTAAGCTGTACTCATACGTATCAAGTTTGAGAATTTATTTATTTGAAAACAAATAAGTTTTGTATATAAATCGTCGGCTTTATCGATTTTTAAGAAACGCAAAGACACAAACATTATAGAATAATTAACATTCAAATTTGCGCGAATTGTGGAAGAGGACGCGACCTGCGAAAAAAGAAAATTTATCGTTTCCTAACCGATAAAAAATTGAAAAAAAAAAAAAAACCTCGAAGATTAGAAGAAAACTGCAGTGCGGAAAAATAATTTCGATTAAATCACAATAATCGAGTAATAACAATGTCGTCGCATACGTCGACCACTCCGGCACAAACACCCTGTACAAGCGTATATACTTGCAGTGTGTGTGTGTACATATATATCTATAACGCCGCCGGTACGTAATTTGTCTGCCGGTGCAGTTTCGCTGCACGGCGACGCAGAAACCATAATTCCGTCGTGTTGTATGTATACGTAATATACATCATTGGTGTATAAGTCGTGTCGTGGGTATATCGCGTGTGTCGTATAAATCGTATATGTAGGTACAAACGTTTAATTTGCCGTGCGCGGCTGCTGCAGACATCGGATACCTACGTGAGGCGGAGCGGACGAACGAGAACGGTGCGACGCACGGGATCCCGATAAAACGTGTTAAACGAAAAATACACGTCGCCGGGTTTGGACGGGGCCCAAGAAAATAATATTACAACGTCGGCAGATCGTATAGTCGTTTTATAAGACATTATTAATTATTATAATATGAATGTAGGTATAGGTAAGGTATATATATATATATATATATTATAAATATATGATACGCGCACGGCGTGTATATTGGTTTTGCACTTTTGCGTTTTGGCGCCGTGCCAGCAGCAACAGGCAACGGCAGACCGACGACGGCGACAGATGTATATTGTATACATAATAACGTATAACATAAGAGTATGTGTGCCGGTACCGCTGCTGTATATTATTATTATTATTATTATTATTATTGTATTATGGGTAGGTATGTGTACACTGCACACTACACGGACGTCGATTTTGGCTTCCGAATTTGTAATATATTATAATTGTTGCGTTATGCGGTTGCATTTATAAGGTCTCGCGCTGGTCGTGGATCACGCCGAGTTCGTTGCGCCCGCATATAGAATCTCTCTGTCGACAAACGTATATATATATATACGGGTATACTTGCAAGTTTATATACTTGGTTTATGGTTACCCGAGATTGCGTGTTTTCGGCGATCGCGAATCGACGTGAAAGCCCGCTGGACAGTCCGACGGCGACGTCTCCGACCTGCAGTATTCTAATATAATTTGTAACGCGCCGAAACAAACTCGAAATTCCGTCTCACGCGATTTCTGCAGTGCGACGTGGACGATCGTTTTTCTCTCGAAAAATCCAGAAAATTGCCGGCCAGGCATTACTAAATATACGGAAAAATCGTGTTCGTAGGAGGTACCTATATATATATATAGATAATTTCCTAACGGGTCCCAATGACAGATATATTATAACGGTGACGTGTGTCGCGCGTTTCACTATAATGGGTTTCAGTTATGAAATGTCTGATATTATGTGTTTATACGATAATTATAATTGTATAGGTACACTGTAATATGCTATCATTATTATGGCATACAGCCGGCGTGTGTGCGGTATGATATAAATTGTAATAATTACGAGCGCCCTTGAAACGTGTACCTATGCATTTGTGCATGAAGATACTATACTTAACACGGCGTCGTACGTATTAGAAAAATTACGAAGTATACATATTCGATGCCTATATGTGTAATCATATATAATATAATATATAATGTATAAAGTGCCTATTATCTGTTCATTGTCCCTTATACGAGTCATTGTTTCCATATCATATTATTATTATTGTTATTATTATCATCATCGTGTTTATCGAACACACGCGCACAGAGCAGTAACCGGTAGCCGGTTTTAAACAAAACCTGTGTGTATATACATAATACACATGTATATGTATAAACCACAAAGCATATTTTAATTTGATACGCTTTAATAATAATAATAATAACAACAGCCCGTTCTTGTAATAATTACTGATTTTTCTTACAAGGCGAACGCTTTTCAAAACGTCTTCGCCGAGTATTAGTAGTATTACCCATACAAGGTATAAGTATACGCGGGACCGTAAAGAATATATTTCTGAATTCGTTTTACGTAGATGAATATAGTAATGCGCGCGTTTTGAACGCCATGGTTTCTTGTCGAAAATCGTACAATAGCAAAATCATTATAAATTATAATATTATCATCTATATTATAACGTTTCATAATTGCGCATAATTATTTATTACACCCTACAATAATTATAAGTGTATAATATTATATTCAATATTCACTGACAATGTTTTTGTACTCGTGTACAATAATAATTCACAGTAAGTATATGTTATAGTATCGTCGTGACGTAAAATTAAGAAAGAAAAACCATTGCTGTACCAAATATTGTGTTATGGTAATAAAACATTTTATTGTAAATGTCATAACGTAATAGTAATAATTACTATGTTGTGTTATCATTTATTAACAGTGATTATTGTTGCAGTTATTGCATTTGCTAATTTTTCTGAATTTCTCAACATTTATCGAGGTTTTTAATAATAGTAATAACTGTCATACAGTTATTACAGTGGAGAAAATATATTTATATAGTATAAAGTTAGCCATCCATTATCAGATCTATTGTCTTTAGAAAATATTTAAATATTAAATATATTATTATAATATTATTTATATTTAAACTATTCTAATGAACTTGCATATAGATGCAACAGATAAAATTATACAAATTTATTTCGAAAAATGTATAAATTCTCAGCTTTTATAAAAATTGCATAAAACTAAAAAAATTAACATCTCTGAAAATCTATAATCTCATGCAAAAAAATATATTTACAATAAAATAATAATAATAATGATTTTACCGATCTCTGGTCATAATAATTTTTGCTACTTTTTATTAAAGTAATTATTTTTTTATTATCCGTCCAGGCCGTTTGTTATATTTATGACAACGTGTTTACAGCGATGCAAAGATAGAAATCGTATTGTAGCTTATAAAACTGAAATTTTCATAAACTTTTTCTTCGGATTTTATATTAAATATTACATAATGTTGCGACGGACAATTAAGTGTTCACCGGTACAGATCGCATCTTATCTTATAAACTTTTCTAAATGTTTTATTCTAGACCATTGTCACGATATTAAGATCTTAATGGATGTCTGAAGAATAATTATTTTTAAAACCGTTAGACGTTTGATAGCGGGGTTAAGATATACAAATATACATTCATTTCTTTGTCGTCAATTCGTTATGTAGAATTATCGCTGTAGTTTTTGAAACACTCGATAGTTTTGGCTCTATTTTTTCGGTCTAATACCATACAAATTCGAATACTTCATACAATTAATTCGATAATCAAATCGCTACATAGAACTCGTGGATTGTCCGCTCGTGACGATCACACCCACAGATCGGTCAATATGTCAAATTAGAATACGCTTTTCGACATCCGGAATGCGAAAGTGTGTGACACGTGTGTATAAAACATTTAATACCATATACCTACATCGCATCCGCGAGGATATAATACCTCTATAGCGAATGAAAACGAATAAACGTATATCCGCGTGCGCGTGTGTGCACGAAGCGTGGAATATAATATTCATCCATATTTATTATGATTACGATTTTACGCCTTGTTATACCTGGTATGTGTGTGTGTGTGTGTGTGTACATGCGCACGCCTTTACCAGCGATAGGATGTATGCGAAACTCTTCTTCCGGTTATAATATTGTTTTTACCTGCACATTAAATTTTATTTTATAATAATATATCATAAACAATGCGGACGCAAACGCATACAGACGCGGTATTCACACATATATATAATACATTCGTCATTAAATTATACTCAAACCCGTCTAATTACACACGGAAAAATTCGGCTTATCGTTCAATTATAATATACATACCTACATTGTACAGGTATGTGCATTACTACTGCGCCACGCGCGATATCGCTACGTTGTCGTGTGTTATGATACAAAGTTAACTTCACGCGCCGATCGTCTTTGTAAACCGTGTACACTTCCTTCCGTGTGACGTGCTGAAGCCTATTATTAATTAGCAGCTATATGTATGATCACAATTATTATTAATGTGCACCGTGTAATACTCGCGTTTAGTAACCATTTATGATATAATATTATTTCGTTTGTAATTTGCAGCCTGGCGACGACAGAGGTGCTCGTTTATCCCGAATGACCGGCGACCACAAAAGACGTCTGTAACGTGCCCGCAACCCCAACACCACCACCGCGGGCCCGGCCTCGAATTGCCGCCATGGTAATACTATCGACATGGAGTTTCATCAGCATAACAGCGTTCGCATCGCAGATATTCGCCAACACGGTAATAACAAAAATATGATATATAATATATATATACACATTTAATTTGTACTGCATGTATGTAAAGGTCTATAATATCCCTATAATAGCTTTGTCTTCATTACTGAATACAAGAATTATTATACAAATATATATAAATTACTAATACGCGACCCCCGACCTTGGTGACAAAGTACGAGTACATATTATGTAGAGTGGTTAGTCGTTTACTGCAGGGGGCGTCGGTTGTCTCCTTCATCCCTTCTCGCCCCTCCATGATAACCTGACGTAGGAAACGCGTATATGCAAATGAAGCAAGCAAGTAATATTATAATGTACAATAATATACAAGTTGAACGTAAACGGCGACAACCCATATAGCTAGTTCGTATTACAGAAATTGGTTCATGTCGCGCCGCAGGTGTCTGCCCGGCCTATGTATTATAATATTATGTACACAGTAAAACAACGTTTTTTTTTTTTTTTTTTGTTACCATATCATTATTATACCGTCGCCGCCTGCCGCGATATATTAAACGTGTGTGTTTTACTCTTTTACCGTCGCCGACTGCAGGCTAACAATAATACGCGTGCACTGCCGATCGGGTTTTTTACGCAAGTGTAAATAGTGAACTACTTTGGAATACGCATATGATAACAATATTATTATTATACACACGCGTGGCGGTAGATACGAACACAGACACGCAGTGTATATAAATTGTATAGCGACGTAATCGCAGCAGATTCGATCGAGATATTTTTTTTATTATAATATATACATATACATATATATATTATATGGGTATATAAAATACACAATGTCAAAAACGAAACTGGACCCGTCGCTTGCAGCCTGATCGTTATAGGAGGGCAAGGCAATTGCGTCAAACCCGGCACATTTATGTCGTACACATACATAACCCGTGTACATTAAATTGTATATATATCTGTAGGCACCTACACCTGCAGCGGTCGTGACTCGCGAGTTCGCAGCGTATTATATATATATATATATATATCATTATATTGGCGAAAACGAGCAAAAATCAATTCGAATATCTAATAACTACATAATAATATATTGTATTGTTATACTTTGCACCTACATCAGTCAAACGTTCAAACGTCCGACCGCAAATCTCGATCGGGACACGCGACCCGCGAACTGAAATACTCGAAACGAAACAAAATTCCAACGGTGCGGTAAATCGTCGTCGATCGTTTTGTCACGATTGACGACCTCCTCCCGTGCAGGCACCGCCACCGCATCGATACCACCTCGGTCGATTGCCCTATTGTTTCAAGGATTGTGTGCGCACGGCGCGTTATTGTCATTCGATAGTAATAATCGAAACGCGTTTACGATTATTCAAAAATAATTTTCTATTTCGTTTCTCGTACACGCGTTACCTGTAAATGGTAATAATCCGCAATAAGTCGACTGCGGCATAGTGTTCCAATCCTAAATCGACATAATAATCGACTATACGTTGTCTCTTTAATGCCTAATAAACAATAATTATTATTACTGTTCAAAACCGATTTAGCTCGATTTTATGTAAAATATAAAAGTTCACATCGATTAGCTAACAAAAATCAGTCCATGTCACGAAGATCTCTCTCTCTCTCTCTCTCTACCTCTCTTTCTCAGTATATATAACATTAAGTATATTCAAAATAATGTTTATGTTATTATTCAATAGTTTTTTCGCGTTTTTTATTTACTCGACGTAATGCTATACCAAACTTTAATCGCGAGAATAATATAAATAATAAATATGTATAACAATAATATTATATTGTTTCAACCTTAAATTATGTTTGTTTTAAAGCGATTCTACACGGAAGATGATTTATGATAATTGAAGGTCTTGTTTAGTTACGATTCACGATTATTATCTACAAAATTGAAATTCATAAAAGATAATCATAAAAAAAAAAAAAATAATGAATAATTGACGTATATAGTGTTATTCCACAATGAATTTATATTACTTAAGAACAGCGTACGCGCATTATATTGTGTGTTTTTTATATCGCTGATCAACGTTTGTCCGTACCTAATCGTTTACCTTTACGATCGGAAGACGATGAAAGTGTTTAATAACAGTTCACGCATTTCCATACATTTGCAGATAATTTCGACTTATAATATTACAATTTTTTTTTTTTTAAATTCATGGCGCCAACTTTCGCCGAACGGTTAATGATCCGAATCGTCATCGTATGTATATCATGACCACGTGGGCAAATTCGCGCTTTCTGCGGTGTCGTTGGCTCAATATACGTGACCAATTATAATAAAGACACATGAGAGACATTCCTCAAGGTAAACGAAAATCCTTGTGGTCGCGATACGATCCTGTGGTGTTATCAGCTCTTCGACAGGCCGTACGCGATATTATGATGAATTCATTATAATTTTGTCGGTTTTTTTTTTTTTTTAAGTCCTTGGACTCCGTATATAATATATATGTAGAATTTACATCCTAACACATACACACACACACATACTCATAATTTTATAGACACGGACACGGGACGACGTCACCCTCAGCCGCCATCTAGTGTGGTTCTCGACCTTCTATACGGGACGAGGTCGGCCTCAGCGTTTTCGACCGTAATCCGTCACTCTACTGCAGCTGAACAAAATAATGCTTTTCTCATTGTCCTGGTTTTTTGTGTTATCGTGATAACAAATAATAATATTACTATTCCGTGTGGTTTGTCGACCGTATAATGCGACGGCGGCAACCGATATCCACCCTAAACAATGGGCTGCCGTCGGGGCTAACGAACCTGTACCTATATCTCGTCGCATACGTGTGTATGCATGGCGTCATGTGCTGGACCTATAAAATACGGAACATATATTTTAATAACGCATTATTGTACGCGCGGTCCGAATGCCTGATGTTCGAATGGCGGGCAGGTTAAGAGACTCATCGTGATAGGTATACAATGTACGTAGTATATACGTACGTCATATCGTACGCCGCACCGCTCACTGTTGAAAAACTGTCATAATGTGAGGGCAAGTTGGATAATAATATGTTGTTTAGTATCCGGTTACTTTTTTTATAAGTACCATTATTTAATAGTCTATTAGGTACAGAAGATTGAAATCTCGAAATATTTTTCGACGCGATGTCCAGTTTTTGTTTTTTAAACGGCCGACTGCAGAGTTAAGTCTATAGAATTTTTCTACAGAGCCTATATTAAGTCTATAACACTCAGAATGTCAAAAGCTAAGTTTATCGATTTCCATACGGTAGTGAACTCTTGCGTCGTCGCGGAGTAACCGTGTAAGCATCTTATCGCAAAACTGTCTGCAACACCTTTTTGCTACTCACATTTTATAGTGTTGCCATTTTCTAATGTCACGGTCAAGAACTTTATTCCCACAAGAAATAAAAAAAAAAACTCGTTAGCTGTGCCTATATATAGGTATCTACGTGTATACACTCAGAGACGGGGATTTCTACATTTATTTCTCTTTTGAATCGGATGTATTAAATTACTGTACCTATGTATAATGCAGGATATTATCTCCGCCATGCATTACGCAATCGCGACTTCACATTGCTCGACTGGATGCATTTTTACGCAACTCATAAAGATATCTCGAGACAACTGTACGTAGCGTAGACATTTGTTACCTATGTTCTCATATCAAATCGGTCGAGGGCGGAAAAATTAGACACCCAGCTGGAACTCATAATATGTAATATAAATTATACGTACCTACACACTACACACAGATTTATCACTGAACTCAATATTTTAAGTGTCTCTATAATACACCAAACCGTATGACTTTACATGTATACAAGTATTTTATGTAAGTGCATAATATACGAATCACGAGCTAATATTGTCGTCAAACGCCATTCCAACCAAAATGGCTATTACGTACAATTTATAGAAATAGACTTTAATAAAAATATTGTTCACAGGTAAACTTGAGTACTCAAGTAATAAATATTTTGTTTTTGATTTCAGTTACACGAGCACATGGACGTGGATGGCCTGAGGACATTGTTTCACGTGGAACATCATTCGAAAGGTATGAATCTCATCTATTAAAATACGTATTATCTATTTTATTTAATTATTTGACGCGGGTCATAATTCATAACCTGCGTTAGGAAACATATATATAATATATATAGCGGATACGACATTATAAGCATTTACTCGTATACACGCTATTCACATATATTTTAGTTAGATATATTCCAGCGGGATTATACACATTCAGTGTTCGCCATCTAATGTTTCCGGAAACATTGTAACAGCTGCTTAAGTTTTACTGTTCGTAAATAATTTGAATTTAAAATACGCCGCTCAAGTTTATACTATTCAGAATACCAATGGAATATTACGTTAGGTACATTATTGAGAGACTGAGCTTATACCGCGGAGTAAATTGTATGATTCTGTAAATATACGAGTATATAGCGTCAATAGATTACACATTTATACCTACAATTTGAAAGTACGAATATTAATGAGATTTTTTTTATGATCGGGGACATTTCATAGCTGCAATATCAACTATACAATATACATAGACATTTTTATTTAATTCTAATTATCACTACAAGTTGTGAGCCAACTGGGGAAAAGGTGGAAAACGATCATTCCACTCCAGCTGTACTGCAGTTATATATAGACACATAGTATCTACTATAACTCGTTTTAACATAATAGTCTATTTCACGAATGGCGAAAAAAGTATCTCCAAAGTATCACCTATCGAGATTTCTGCAGATTACATCATGCTCTTTGCACATTATACGATACCCTGCAGAGTAGCTATTCCCATTTTATAGGTTAGTAATGTTAGTTTAGTATACCATCATACACTATTCGTTCCGGAAAATACATTTCAGCAAACCTATGTAGATCTATTATCTACTGCAAATCTATAGCCTAACCGTCGGTGACAAGGAACGCTATATGCTATATAGAGACTATGGAGTTATTTATCTGTGCCAGCTGGTTAGGTTTACCTAACCACACGATATTATACTATGCGAGATTTTCTCCTCTTCTTCGCGTTTCTTGCACGCCGCTACAACAGGAGTTTCTATTACACAAATGTGTTATACTTATGTAGGTGTTTGCGTAGGTTCCAGATTTATACTAATAATGCTGTCTGCCTCGTTAACACCGGTCAACGTTCTCTCTAAACCCCATCCAACCACTGTATGATATATATTTACATACACCTTTGGTACCTATAACTTTATATCATCTGACTTATTTAATTATTTTCTGCAATTTTACTTACGCGTTAATTTTTTGATAACTAAGTATAAATTGATTAATACGATGGATAAACATTATTAATATTGAACTATTTAGTGTTAATAACTATGGACTTTGTCATCATAAACAATCCTTGTATCATACAACCATTAAATAATAATATAATGAAGGCGCATTTCACCACGCCATACACAAAATGTATATATATATATATTAATAACAAACGAAAAACAATCGGAGGAAAAATAATTTAATTTATTACTACAAGAAATGTTTAAAGTTTAAATTTAGCATAAATCCTATTTTATAGGCCTTAAATATGACGCGTATAATACGATACGTAATGAATAAATTGTATAATAATATTAAGTAATAACTATATAATAGACTTTTATGGGTTAATTATCTTGTAATTTGTTCACAGTGCCCGTTTACGAGGTGATAAGCCTGCACTCGATTGTCAAACGGGATGCGGACGGCGCTCACAAGGTTCGACTGAAGGCGTTTGGAGAACACCACGACTTACAACTAGAGCCTTCCGATCGGCTTTTCACGGGCGACAAGTTACGTGCCTGGATGGCACATCACAACTCCACCACAGATACAGTACACTATACCGAACTACCCAACGATGTAAGTCCTCATCAATATTTTAATATTAATTCATTTTATTGCATTAGATATATAACATAATATATAATATATTATATATGCATATTTTCATTAGTATATCGAATACCTGCTAGTATTTGACTATGTAGAAAACTATAATAAATATAGATTACGAGATTATATGACCTATGAAACATTTTTAATGCAAGTCCTTTATAAATGACCGAATTTCTCTCTATAACAATTTTGCGATTAAAAATTATCTACTAATTAATATAACTATCATAAGCGTAATTATTACATAAAATAACATAGGTATTAAATACAAACGATATCGCAATATATTGATAATTTTTTTTGTTTAACTTTTAAACTTCCGATCATATCAATTGTGTATTAAATCGGCTATAACATAATGTGACTTTAACCTGCTTAAGAATATAATTTAGTATTATTTACGATTTGTCGCATAAAAATGTAATAATACCTATTAACTACGTATGAGGCATATTATACCTACGTCATCATCGTAATTTTACGGGTTATACCGGTTGTAAACCTTATTTATTGGATACTTTTGTACTAAAAAATCATTTTTAAAATGAAAACTTAATTTCAATTTATTTAAATTTTTTTTTTTTTGAGTTTTGGCTACGAAATTTTAATAATAAATAATACAACGAATTTAAACATCAAAGAACTTATAATGTATTTAGATGAATGATTTCAATATTTTTGCAGATATTCTGATTTTACTGAAATTAATAATTATTATAAAAATATTTGTACAAATCAACTATAATTTTCGACATGGTTTTAAACATGTTCAATGAATTATAATAATAATAACTTATTTTATTACACAATACTCGGTTATTCGAATCTAGAAATGGTACAATGCGCATCGATTATTATTATTATTATTATTATACACCGTGATATGTAAAATTCAAAGAAATGTTCAATTTTTATTAAGTTAACCATTTATTTAAAATATATTTACAATCTATACGAGACAAGGTATAATGAGCAAGTGTGTTGACATGCGTAATTTGACATAAAGTAACATTAATAGGAAGGCTCCCAGCAGTGTCACCTGACCAGAAATCAAATGTTCAATTTAAAAATTTAAATTAAATAATTTTTAGTTGGGATGGCCTTACAAAATCATCAACTAAAATATTAATAGGATGATGAAAATTTATTTTGAGCCTCTTAATTTTTCCTTTTGTTTACCGATTAAAATTATAATGAACAACGATGTTTATTTATATATAAAGCCATAAAGGTAAACATAAATAATATATTGTACCTATGAAACGTATATATAGATTATAATAATTATATATTTGGTTTAGAAGTAAGTACATTGAATTTCATTTTAACTACTTTTTATATAAATTTTTTTTATTATTTTACTTATTCGCTGCAATAATATAATATGTATTAGAACGTTTTTTTCGAAGTTCCAACCGGTTTCCAACTTCTTGCCCTTAAACGATAACGCTTATCGTCGGATTTTCCTGTTTTTACCCCATCTAAAACCAAGCGTAGGTGACGGTTATATACTATTATACATGTGCGTGTGTGTTATTCGTGTACACAATTCGTGTTTGTTTATGTGTGGTGTTATCTGCGTATTGTGATGTCACTCGTCGAGGTTATACTATTGAATACTATCAAATAATAATGGAAACGTTAGATAAAACACATATATATACATGGCAAGGTACTATAACATACAGTATGAATAAAACATTGACAATATCTATATACTCGTTACGACCGTTCACCATACTGAATTAAAATCACTAGTTGACAATTATTTATAATGTTGAACTCATTAAACATTGTCCTGGTAAATTTATGTGTAATTTTTTGTGAGTTTTTGTTAAAATGATGAATAAAAAAAAATTTACTATATATTGTAATAATTTAACATTTAAATACAAATAATTTTATAATTTTTTACTTTTTATATAATCTGTGCGTATATTCAAGATTTTTATAAAAATATTATAATGTTTTAGAATACATAGTACCTAATTTGTAAAAAAAATGACCGAGAAATAGGATGATAATTTTTTTTTTTTAGAATACTATGATTCATTTTTTGGCGGAATAGGTATTTAAAAAGATATATAACATACATTTTTTTTATTTTATAACAATGTAATACATAAAATCCTCTTGTAGCAGAAAAACAAACTGTTAATCCGGCAGTAAAAGTATACACATTTTCTTGTATATGGTAAGTCATTTTACCGTTTAGTTGAAATAAAAAAAACCATAATAATAAGATTTTAATAAATTAATTATACTCTTCCCCTCCGATCATCAGGACGCAACGTTTTTGGCTTTTTTCCAAATATTTAAATCTCGCATTATAACGATAATAAGTATTACCTACATTTAAGTGTGCTCATTGAAAATTAAGTAGTTTTTGCATTCGTTATTGGATATTATTTTTATTTTTTTTTTGTCAGTTACAGACCAGCTTGACGAGTATTATGAAACGATGCAAATAGTTCGTTGCTACTATAATAAATGGAATATTTTATGTTATGTATTATTATCATATGATTGATAACTTCACTTAGTATATGTGCAAACTTTTGACGCAATTATATACCTAACGTATAATACGTAATATAAATATACATTAAAAACCATGTAAGATTTTTTTCACTGTAGATTTATACATTTCTAAGTCTAATAGCCAATAGATAATTCTATTTTAGAAATTTTTAGTTATTATAATAAAATAAATGGAGAGTTTTACTATAAGTCATTTCAACAAAACATTAGTAAGTAAAATCTCTTTTTGAGGACTTTGAATAATAAATATCTAACGTCTATATTGGATTTGAGTCTTTTTTCGATTATTGAAATTGAAAATTTTAAATTTATAAGTTTTGATAAGTATAGAATTGATTGGCATAGAATTATAAGTTAGATGTCGGTACAATATATAGCTATGAGGATTACATCTCAACTTCAATACTCTAAATATTTACTAATTTAAATATTTTTAAGCTATAAAAATAAACTTATTTAATATTCATGCATTAAGATTTTACCTCCTAAGATAATTACTGATAAATCTGAAATAAATACTTACTTAAATCCTAATCGCAGATAAAATCACGTCATCTTAAAATAAAATCAAAAAAATCTTAAAAAGGAAATATATTAATTATTAATCCTTTAGTACCTACATCATTTTACACATAGTGATAACTGTAAAACCTAAAATAGCACTAAATCGTCCTTATATAATTCAGCGGTCAGTTATCGTTTACTATCAAAATGATTTCCTCATTATAGTATAGGTCGTTCAAGGTTCATTTTAATACTTACAAATACATAAAGTAATAAATTATAATATAATATACTTATATAAATATAAAGCGTAAACATTATGTCAGCGAAACGGTTTGTTTAAAAAAAAATACTTAATCTATACGCACATTCGTGATTCATCTGTGTAAATTGTACAATAATGTATGAATATTCTATACAATAACCAATATGAATATTCAAGTAAAAATTATTATTATGTTCATACATATAACAGCGTGTGTGTCGTGTGTGCGTTACGTAAGAATAAACACCCACGCATCATAAGTTTATCACTAGCGTCAAGGTGTGGTCTTTTTAACGGCTAATACGCATTTTAAATGCACACGATATTTACACCTATATATATATTGTATATTTATACACGTGATTTCTCCGTGAAATGTAATAATTACGGAACAAAACCAACACACTCTTTCCGCGTGCGCGTATGATACATAATAATGATACTGAAATATTGCAGTCGTTAACAAATTTATAATATATAATAATAATATATAGGTACGTAAGTACGTATCCTGCACAAAGAGCTCGCTTATACATAATAGCATAATAGAAATATACGAAATACGATGTACCTACGTATATAAAGCATAATTATTATGTAACTGCCCGGGGCCGAAAACCGCTCGAGTTGTTTTCATTTATATATATATTTATTACTCACATCAAATACCTATTAAATCATGTAATTATTGGTCAGAAAATTATTTAAAGAGATATAACTCGCTTAAAACGACTAAACGTAGTAATGTTTCTTTATATAAATATGTTTCACGTGCGTTGCCTTTTATCATGTAATATTATATAATATATATAATATACATTGACAATTAACCGATAAAACTAAAGAGACAAATACTTCTAGGATGCGAGTTTAAATACATTTGAGATATGACTTATATATGTTTATAAATAATCTGCACGTTGTTCATAAATACTACGTCATGTAAACGATGGGCACGATGCTCCTGATGACCTATAAATATTATACACAATATTATGCATTATAATTTGTAATTTCCGTTAAATGATGAACATATTTTATGCGTTACATAACTCAGTGTGTCAATGTGGCGTGAAATGGATTGACTCGTATAAATCAACGAAACTTGTATCGAGAAATTGTATTTGCAAACAAAAAAAACACTTCGCCACGGTAAATTATTATGTACAAGTACACGAATGTACACTTAAAATATATTACAACACAATATAATATTGTATGAACAAAAATAGAAACATACTAATTCTATAGTTTGACACTTCCTACGCGCTACAGTCTAGGTAATATCGCCTAAGCTTTATTGTTAGGGAGGCTTGTGACGACGTAGTGATATACACCTTGTACCACTCCCTGTCATATATCTATGAATTTCCTAACAACATAAACAAACGAAAAAATGAAATAATTCTTATTGATAAAATCAATTTTCTATTTCCTCATTACCTATTAAATATGTATTTTTAAATTTGAAAAACGATCTATTAGAAAACATCTAACATGTCTAATTATTACAAAAAAATTTGAAATTATATTAAAACTGATATTGATATAGTTTCTACAACTAGTATAATCGTTAATTATGCACCAATAGAGATTGGAATTTGTAACTCTATTTTTTCGAATCATAAATCTTAAAATTAATCATAATAATAACGATAATATTAAGAATTCACTATACCTATATATCATTAGTAAAATGTCCGTATCAAATAAAAAAATTAAATTCATTAATATTTTTAATGAATCATCAATACATAATATTATTTCGATATTATGAGAGCCTAATATTTCATAAAATGAACAGTATTTTATTAATCAATTTATAAAGAGGGATGATTTTCATATGGTTCTCTTGTGGTAGTGCTACACTCATTGATATATTGCATGGTGATAAATCGTATTTACGATGTAGGTAGAAGTGACTTTGATCAGCCAGCTACCAACTATTTACCACGATAATGATGACGGTTTTATATATATCCTATGACTTATACATATATATATATTTTACTTATTTTGACTAACAACCCACCTATATTATATTATACCTAACCTTAATACAACGATATCGTTGTGAAGATGAAAGAACCAAATGCATTGCGTATCTATTCAAGATAATTTGATTCTTTTATATTGTTACGTTGTTGAGAATTCTATGTACCTCCTACTAAATAATATATATAACGTTGTTATACGCCTATAATATACTAGAATTTTTTTAACCAGTTGTTTTCGTTTGTCTTTTGCAGGAACACATCGGTGTGCCGTATCAAGATGTCGATAAACGAGCGGCGGTCGTCTTACACAACGACCACGAGGACGGAACGATTCTTATGGTAAGTCAGTTGCGTGACAAGGTCGAGTCAAAATACCATAATACAATAATATAACGACATTATTATAATAGAAGATAATAAATATTATATATATAATAAAATGTCAGGCCGTGAGACGGATCGCTGTCGTTGTTGTAATCAAAGTAAACCCGAGAGCCGCTAGAGTTACGCGTTGACAAACACAATAATCAATGCGTCTTCATTTAATGTATTGTATATAATTAGGTTTAGAAAAATAATCTACGAACAACGCGATTTTTAAATTTTGTGTAGATAATATTAATATACATATATAAGTATACATAATTAATATAATATATATGCGTAACGAGGCGACGAAATAAGGTCGTTTGAACATATATATATACGTGAAACGGTTTTTTTTTTCACTCAGTGTTCTTCTTTGATTAATAAATTGGCACGGAGACCGAGCACAGTCGTTATTGGGTCATTGAACAATATATATAATTGAAAAAAAAAATTATTATTATCATAACGAATATTATTCTTCGGGAGCCATTGCGCAACCCGGTTTCGATTATTTTATAACAATACAAATATATATAAATGGAACGACAAGACATCAAACAATAATACACTTATAATATGATGGTATCGTATATACATACATCATCGGATACTTCATAGATGGTCAGACTTGTGAAATCGCCACTGGGAATCATGATTCGGACGTGCGATGGATCCCACGACAGCGACGCGATCGTCGCGTCGTATTGTTGTAAATCGCAGGCTAATATCGAACACTACGGGCGCGACAGTACATATAATAATAATATTACGGATTGTACGCATCGTACGGTGGATTGGAGTGATTGGACACGGTATTCGTTCCGGTTACGCGTGGTGTCTGACCCCTAGACGAGGTTACACAATATTATATAAATTATGACACTGCAGTAGTCGTGTATTGCGGATCTGACTACAGACACACGTAAATCGGCTAAAAAGTCAAAAAATGTAGTATATATACTTGCATAGATATATACCAGCTTAAACAAATCTCACGGATTTGGTATATCTATATTTTTTATATACGTTATATAATGCTATACGTATATACCGTATATACACTCGCGTTATATACGTACGCGAATACAATATACAATATCAGTGCCGTTCAAGCACGTTCGTCGAAAAATTTGCAATTCGTATATATGTATAATAATGCGCCAGCTCAAGGTTTGAGCAAAAAAACAATAATATTTGGATGCGGAGTCAACAATTCTGCCTCCCATCCTATGCCAACCTATATACCTTTAATTTGACACGAGGTTACCTACATCTATTACACTACAATACAATATAACTCTATGTTATATAATATATATAATATATATACATAAATATTATACGCACGTGTATCCGTACGATGTATTTCGGTTTCCCTAGAAATTTGATTAGTTGAACATATAATATAATATTACGTCGAACTTCGATCGCCTCGCCAATGTGTATAAATATACATCATTTTTTTATATCCTTATATACATTTGATAAGATATAATATTTTAATATGATCGACAATTTTATTTATCAATCTCGATATGAATGCTTATACAAATCAGAATGAAAACAAAAACCTATTCCGCCGTGTATGATGATATTCGAATGGCATTGTATACCATACGTACTCGTATGCCTATCTATAATAATATTATAAATAAGTTATATAATGCATACAGAAAATCGTTGGGAATTTAAACCTATTGTCTTACGATCAGTTGGCTAATAAGTACCTATATATATTGTAAATAAATACGATATAGTACCTAATGTAAAGCGAAGTACCTTAACAATATAAACTATATAAAATATAATAAGACTGCCAAGGTACAATAATATATAGTTTTGAAAATTATTATAATATATTTTAATAATCTATACTTCGGCGACGAACAACAATAAAGCGAGCAAGAGACTTTAACGTACGCACTGACGTAATAGCGCTGAAGACCGTCTTGAATCTAATTTATACCATAGCTACGTACAAAACAATATAGAGATATTAATCGAAAAAAACCAAGACGAATATGGAGATGTGCGTTTTCTAAGTCGACGGGATGTCGTTTTCTATAAAAGTAAAATTTCAACTTTTATATTCGCTAATCTTTAAAGAATATCTGTATTATAATAGCGGCTAATTATAATATATACTATACAATATATATAGTTGTACAATGTTATTGAAACGTTTAAAGTGGAGAAATACAGCTCATGTAGTCACGTAACCATAAATCCCATTAAAAAGAAGTCAAATCATTTAATGATATGTGCCATTCCTCCATACGCAAAAATTACTGTAAAGCAAGTAAATATATTATTATTATAATAGTACCTTCATAGATTTGTTTCCGAAATAAAATTTACTATACATAGTGTTTAATAAGTTTTGAAATGATCATTAGACTAATTCGGACTTATAAACGATAATATGATATAATTAATGAAATTAATAAATATTTTAAATTTTACATTATAAATATACAGCAATGTTATCATTTACATCTATTATTGCTCCATGTAGGCATTAAAATATGCATATAGTAATAAAAGTTTTCAATCTTATTGAACACCTATAGTATAAATTAAAATGAATAAAATATGTTCCACAAACATATTCAATGACTATTCAATTTAAAATAATGAGACATCATCATATTAAAATAATTTTAACCTGCTTTGGCTTATACATTTTATACAGGTTATATACTATAGAATATAGATACATGTATAAACATATTTTTTAATTTTACCTACATATATAATATATATATATATATATATATAAGTATAAAGAGTTTGTAAGGAATACAATTTATTGTTTCAATTATAATTTATAACATATACATTACGTAGTAATGATTTGAAGTAATTTTTTTATTTCTTTGCATAATTTTTGAAAAAATCTAAGGTACCCATCATGATTTTTTAAATGTTAAATGTAGTCTAAGTGGTTTTTATTTTCACAAATAATAAATAAGCTATATTAATACACCATGTCCAGTAAAAATGTTTACCTTGAAACCTCTACGGGATAATATTTAAAAAAATTAATTTTAACTTTGTTTTATATTCTCACGGAAACTTAACAAAACCACCTACTCTCACTTTTCTTGTGAAAACCACAATTGTAATGAAAAAAAAATTATCACTGTAACGATTTGTTTAAATAGTTTCGTCTAAAAAAAAAAAGATTTGATTAATATTGTTATTGTTTTGTTAATGGATAAATAATATTTTTCTCAACTACGTACGTTAACGTCAATAACAATAATGAATAATGATCATGATAAAACATACTATAAGCGTTATATTGTCATTGTTGGCAAATCAACTTATCAATAATAGCACATAAAAAATATTATCTATAATTAATTTTAATTAAAGAACATAATAAATATTCTAATTTTATAACCAGTTCTGGGTGCGTGTATTAGGCAATAATGCATTTAAATATCTTGTAATTTTCATCAGATAACAATTTGTTTACAAAACACAAACGTTTGAATTCGTTAACACCCGCAGCGAATACATTTATAGGTTGTATAGAACATAAGTAGACAGCGCACGAGTTCAATAACGATAATGAGCCGAGTCGTATCAAAAAAATTAGTCAAAATTAATGAAACCTGAATATCCACGCAATACGCTCATCGAACGGTGATATATTTTTTATGCCGTTCTTCGTCTTTACCTCTAAAATGTATATGTTTATGTTTATCGTTCGAGTGCCACAAACATAAAATATAAAAATTAAAAAACAACGGTATATATTACATAGATATAATATAACAGGGATTTAACAAATATGCTGTGACGTGTTCCAAAAAAATAACGCCAACGTGCACGAACTTTTATGAGTGTTTAGCATTGAATTTTCTTTTGTCAAATAACGAATAAACTATACACTCTAAGAGCCTATACTTTAAATGATATTCAAGCAATAAAAAATAAAACTCAGATGGTTTACAATTATTTATATACTAGTATTATTATTGTCAGAAAAAAATATTTTGAAATATTGAAAGATCTCCGCCCCCAGAATGGCTTAATATGTAGATAAAATAAGGACATTCGCATAACAGGTCATTTCCTAAATCATTCATAAATGCATAATTGATGGTCTACTGATATATACGAAATACTTATACGTTATAGTATCAGAAAAATTATGTGGCTTAAATCAAAATTATTTCATACAAAAATCATTGAAAAAAAAAATTGCCAATTAAATTATATATGTATCTATAGAAAATATTATACCTAAGCTATAACACTGTTAAAAGAAACTTTTAGACCATCTGATATACAAATTCAGAAATAAAAATATATACATTTGATATGTGTCGATGTAAATATTATATGACATTCATAAATTTAGGGGTGTAAAATGTATAAATATAGGCATACCACCCTGGTCTATGGAGTGTGCAAAAATGAAAGGACTTATTCGCGCGTACGTCGCCGTCGTTTACATATATATATGACTATAAGTATTAATAATTTTTTATTCACTTAACTGTGATGACTAATTCGTTTATAATATATTATAAAATTTTGACGTGTTAATAAAATACGTGCCATATAACGCTAACCAATATAGACGATTATTATTAATTTATTTAACGCTCGTTATTTAATGATTCATCATTTTGTGTTTTCACTTTTCCAGTTAAATGTTTATAATGTATTATTATTAGTTGGGCATATAATATATACATAGATAGATAGATACTTTACTATTCTTTACACCTTGTAAAATATACCTAAATTATGGTGGCTATTCGTCCCGGATTTCCCAGGACGTTGTCGGTGTAGGAATCCATGTCCCCAGCGTCCCGAATAGTTTATCGGGGCACCAATTAATTGTACTGGGTTTTTTTCATAATTATTTTACTTACTCGATTGTCGATTTTATTATTGAACAAAACGTAATTGTAAATATTAATTATTACAACGATATTTGACATTGAACGTCGGAATGTGTGACAATGACAATAATAAAAATTAAAAACTTTCTAAATTTAGACAACCTTTACTGCCTTAAACTTTTGATTACATTTACAATCGCTAGTCGGGAAAAACCATGTTATGATTTTCGAATTTCAAGAAATGCGATTACGAAAGATAATAATATATAATTATTTCAATGTATAGTTTATTGTTTACTGTATTACTGTACTCCAGTAGTCTCAGACTTCAGTAATCAGTATGCATTTATATGCGGACAATATTGGTTGTACGCAACTGTGAAGTCTATCAACGGTTTTTTACATATTAATACTTTATATTGTCGTGATTTTATGTAGTTCATTTTTTATTTTTTTTTAACATAGTGACTATGCCACTAAAAATACTCTGTCATTTTAATGAGAAATGTCAAAATTATTTCCCATCTATTCAAAAACAAGCCTATACTGATGATTTCAAGGTACAGTGTATAACTTGTCATAGAACATTTTCAGTAATTCATGGTCGACGATCGGACTTAAATGATCACTTCAAAACGCAAAAACATAAATTGACTCCAAGATAATCAGTTCAATCTGGTAAGATTTCCAACAATTTTTCTGGTTCGGTTTCTACTAAAAATTATTTTTTGTTAGCCACCCGCGAAATTATTTTCGTATACCATATAGTAATTTACAATCAAAGTTCTCGTTCTATCATTCTATGCCCTGTACATCGGAATTGATTCATCAATATTTAAATGACAAAAAATTCACGTATGTAAAATTTACCTAGATAGATATATTTTAAAAGTGTTAAATAAATTAAGTTATCTTATCTAATTGATTAATTTTAATATTTTTGTATACCTAACGAGTAATGACTAATGTCCTAATTAACTATTAACGGGTAATGTCTATTATAAAATAAACTCTTACTCTGTACCTACTATATAGAATACAGGTAGATATAAAAATAAATTCACAACAACTTTTAGCTAATAACACTAACCATAATACATGACAATATAACATTTATCCTTTATTTAATAGCTACGAATATGATATTATGAATTATTTACCTACAAAATATGTGTAATTATTCTGAGAACATGAATTTTTCGGCACGAACTTTCGTGATTCCACGAGAATACGAGGTTGTCCCCTATATGTGTAGGTATAGATACTTAAATATATTCACAAAAAAAGACGTCTCGCCCAAGTTTCAATCGCATTAACGTCATAACAATAATAATACACATGAGCTGGTAAATTATTATTAGTGCACATAATGCATAATAAAAATGTACTACGTGTCTATCGGGTGCATGTCATCATTATTATTATATACGAGATACGTATATGGGTACGTATAAGCAAACGCGAGACCGTGCGGTTTTATATACGTGCTTTTTCTGTTTCTATTCCTTTTTAATTTTTAGTTTCTTGGCTTTGGCTCAAAAATCCATTTTTGTTTCAAAATTTGTACAAATATTTAACGTCCGTGTTTGTTTTATTTAACCATACACGTGTATTTTGTTTATTGTACACTCCTTCCATTACTCAAACAGCATATATTATAAAGATGTACCTACCTACCTTTCTCTGCCGATCGTCAACTCGATTTTATTATATTTTTTTTATTACTCTCAAACAGTCTTAATCCTTTCACTGCTATGTTTGCATATATGCGAGTAATCAAATCTAAAATTTAAAAAAATAAACGGGAAAATTGTTATCGGCATATTCAGCTTATAAAACGGTGACAGGAAAATGTATTTCTTTAGCTGACTTTCAATTGCAATTAATTATTGAACTGATATTAAAATATCAATGTGAAGGTGGCGTCACAAATATTTTCAAAATGTCCAAATCTTCCAGTATAAGGTGATAAAATATTTTTATTTTATTTTTCAAAAATCCAGCACAGGGCGAGTACTTGTGATTTTAGTACATTGCAGTGAAAGGGTTAACACTTGGCTGCCGTTTTTGCTTCTTACCACTGGTCACCCGTATTATAGGTATTTCATAACCGTTATTATTTTACGACGCGCTTGCAATGTAAATATTATCGACCAGACGCCATTGAATAAAATTACACTATGACCGTATTGAGAGGTAGATACTGAATAGTAGTAGAACCTACTGACAAAACGTTTACGCGGTGTAGGTACTTAATAGCGTGTTAATTTTCGTTGTTTAGTTATGCATTTTTGTTTTTTGTTTGTCTTATGAACTGCAGAATATTGCTTCGGGACGTGTCTACTCTGCATTGAAACCTAAGTCATCGTATTATCATTATATTATTAGGTATTATTATTTACTATACCTTGTGGCGTTGACATCGTCCAATACCTAATAGAGACAACAATAATCTATACACGCACGCCATGTTATATTGTATTCAATGAAATTTGATTCTGAAAAGAAATTATTTTTTTTTTCACGAACTCTGCCTATTGTTGTTTAATTGCATTGCAATATGACAGGCTTTATGAAACACGTCATTATTATTAATAATATAATATGTTACTCTCGTACTTGAAATGCGATTCGGCACTTAATAGTCAGGATACTAATACATAATTATTTACTTAGAACATTATTTCATCGGGGATACAGAGTTTATACTAACAAAAAAAAAAATAAAATCAAATGGTCGTTTTGAATGTATACATATATATAATAATTTTAATGAACCTCGAATATGTATTATAATATAGTTTGCCAAAAACCAAAAACTAGAAAAGTGGAAATGTCATTAATGTGGAATATAAATATGTTTTAATTTGCCATTAAATTATCAGAACATTTGTTTATAATACAATAAAACATAGTACAGTTTTTAAATCGAGTATATATGAATATTATATATACTTATATCTATATGTGTTATTGATTTTTAATTCGATAATTTAAATTAGCTATTAAATCGTTTACATTTTAATTTACTTACGCGGCATGCGCATGAGATATTATAAATCATTATTTAACCTGTGAAATTAAATTTGTCGATTGCAATATACTTAGTTGAGTGTGCAACAGAATAATATACCCGACTATTAGCCGTTCCCTGCAGTCTTGCGTATATATGTTCGCAGCGTCAAAAACACCGGTTTTTTTTTTAAATTAAGACATGATACTCACATAATATACATATATTAGCGTACTCGTCGACAGTATATAATAATGATACTGTTTATACATAAAAAATGTATCGAATCCAGTACACGCGTAGTAGGTCGTTGTAGACGCCTAGTTATAGTTTTATAACTATAGATATAGGTACACGGGTATTTTTTTACGCGTTCGAAGCTGAAGCCGTTTTACCGCGTCGGTGCTAATGCTATTACACGAAATTATTTTTATAAAGATTTGTGATGCAAAGCGACTTTCTTGGAATAGTAAGACGACGAGCTAGAGAAAAAAAATCGCCTGATACGTGTTATTTCCAGTTTTCACCATAAATCAATATAATATTATTGTGCATACGTGAATCTAAATAGCATAATATTATACATTACACATCATACATGTGTATAATAACGGTTTGTAGCGTGAAAAAAAATATTAAATTATAGTATATTTGTCTGCACGGCAACCGGTTTCCACGGACACGATTGTCTCCTCGTCCTAATCGTATCCCAATTTACCGAAACTTGTGTCGCATCATACCGCGACTGCGCGATATATAATAATAATAAAGTGCATATCGGTTCAATCGGTCGAATTGATATTGTATTTTTAAAAACGAAATCGGAATTGTTAATTTTATTTCACGTACGGTTCGGTTTTAGGAAGGTACCATTGGCGATCATTTGGTGGTGAAACCCGTGCCGGCCGAGTACAGGAGACACGTACAGTCTGCCACCTCGGACGATGAGATGTTCTTGGACCAAGAGCTCCGAGACAGCGAAAACGAAGTGTCCGACCAAGGTTTCCCGCTCAAGTCACAAAAGTTCGTAGCCCATCACAAGCACGTAGTGTACAGGAGGAATCCCGATACCGACCGAACAGCGGGAGATTACGGTAAGACACAACGCCGAGCCCCGTGGCAATAGGTTAGGTGTAAAAAATTGTTATTAACTCGAAATGGTTTCGTTTTTTTATAGCGCTAATGGAACCAGACGCGTTGCCGAGGAGCAGGCGAAAAAGATCGATCACCAAACGGGAAGCTCCGTACGCCATTTACCCGGAAATAATGGTCATCGTCGACTACGACGGTTACAGGTACGCACCGCCATAATTCAGGTTTAACGGATCACGCGATGATAATAATAAATTGTTTACAATTTAACGCACGATAAATTAGTATCTAATGGTTTATTTACACATAATAACGATTGCACATTTTAAATAAAACTTATTTGTATACAGGTTGCACGGGGGAGACAATGTACAGATTAAACGTTACTTTGTGTCCTTCTGGAACGGCGTGGACCTCAGGTACAGGCTGCTCAAGGGTCCAAAAATACGTATAAGCATCGCGGGAATCATAATATCGCGGGTAAACAAAGTTTAAGTATATTACAATTACAAACATATAAATAAGAATAATGATAATAATATTTTTAAGCCGACGGTCGCGCTCACAATGCTGGCATGCCGACGCTCTCGTCGGTTTCGATTCCGATTTCTTCGAAGAGTGCTTTTTTCGGTTTCGGACAGTTCTCCAAGATCGAGTCCAATATGTCCGTACACATACGTTTGCGTTTCCTATACTCCTTAGTCATCGTTTCGTATTCCTTCTTCACTTTTTCTCTATCCTTTGACGACACCACGTTACCACTTGTTTTCGACACTACGTCCAATTGCGATTTTAAATCGGATACGACTTTTTCCATTTCGGACACCTTGCGTTTTACTTCTTCGGTACTGTAGGTGTTCTGGAGCGTTTTTACTTCGATTTCGGATTGTTTGTACTTGCGCTCGACTTCACGCAGTGTCTCGGTAACTTTCACCAATTCCTCGTCGATCGATTGGATTTCGTTTTGGTCTTCCGCTGTTGAATCCGGTTGCACTACACAGTAAATCTTCTGTTTGCCATTCAATTTCATGAAGATCTTATTTTCCTTCACCAACTGATCGAGCGCTTTTTCCACAGCCGACTTTCCGACGCCTTGCCGCTGTAAATTTGAAAACACGTCGTTGCCACTGAACGGTCTGTTGGCCGTGGCCATGAAATCGTAAACAATCTTCTTGTCCGATCCCATGTTTTCTACAAAATAATAAAAATAAAAATAATAAAATAAACGAATTAATTAACGTCCAATTTTTAGGCGAGAGACGCCACGCCGTATTTGGAGAGGAATAGAGTCGGTAGAGACGCTATTGACTCAGCGGCTGCACTCACGGACATGGGAAAATACCTGTTCAAAGAACGAAGACTGCCAGTATACGATATTGCCGTAGCCGTTACCAAGTGAGTAGCTGGTTCTGAACGGTCTATAAATTTACAAACAAAAAAAAAAACAAATATGATTAATCAGTTTTTCAGTTTTTACTTTTTATTAACATCTCGAGTAAAAACAGATTATTAGTTTTACTCCGAGACCGTACAAAATGATATTTGTGTGATAATTATAATATATATGGGAATTATAACCGACAACCAATGCATTTAGGTATGACATGTGCAGACGTCGAAAAGGAGGCCGTTGTACAAAAGGAACGGCTGGTATGTGGTAAATAAAAATAAGAGGGGAAAAGTGCTTGGTAGTGTGATACGGGAGAATTTGTACATACTACAAATTGTCGGCCTACGAAAGTTATTATAAATTACTTATACTAAACATCCTTCTGGGTACGATGGGATACAGAGTATGTTATTATTGTGGTACTTGATGGAGCTTCTAACGTGTGTAGATGGTAGATAATTAATACTCTATATTATAGTCTATATATAACGATATCATAAAATTAAAATATAAACATTTGACGTGTTATAATAATTATTATGTATACGAAATATGTTTAAACAACCACGTGTTAGCGGATCGAGAGAGACGTTATTGATTCCAGAGAAATGCAAACGACAAATCAGTACTGACTAAATAGCAATAAACTGTTTCATTTTCAGATTAGACATGTGCAGGCGACAATACCCACACGATACATGCAACAGGGGTACCGCAGGTATGTCCCTGAAAATCCAAAACATATCAGTGCACTTGTAATTTATTCGGCCCTCATATATCATTTCGTTTCCCTCTCAAACAAATCGCACTTAAAGTTAAACATTATATTATTTTTATTTTTTGTTTTTGGCAAACAAAGGTTACAAAAATCTTGATTCATTCACTGTCTGGCACTGAAATTCTGAAATTACCTGGAAATTATTTATTTAAGGTCACCATTATATCTTCTTTTACACTGTTTTACATATATATAATACAAGACAATCAACACGTGTCTATTTTTAAACGCTATCAGCAGAAATTTTTTTTAGCATTACACACAAGCACACACAAACACGCGCTCGCATTTGAATACCATCGAGCACGTAAACGTGTGACATGTGGTAATACAGCTACGAAACTGGTTAGCTATAATGGTATAATATACGCAAAGCTTTCTTTACGGTGATTTGTTTCCTGAATAACAAAATCAATTATAAGCACATACATTTGTATATGCGTTTTTCTAACAAATATTTTATAAGTACTCGCATGTGTAAATAATACATATAAATAAACATATTATTTAACTTAATCAGCTACTCCGAATCGGTATACCTAATATTATAGTAAATATATATATATAAGAAAAAACGATTTAACAACAATTTACATGCTTTCAATTCGATTGAATTGGTTTAACATTATAATAAATTGTATACGCATCGACGGTCCGTCCGCCGGTAGAGATTGCTTGTTAATAATAGTAATAACTAATAATACCTAATGTTTTGCACTCTTTTTTGCGTTTGGGTATTAGAAAACAAAACGAAACGATTTTATTTAATCTAAAAACGATCGAATGCGCTAATCACTGTGTTCACGTGTATAGGATTTGCGTACGTGGGCGGTGCTTGCGTAGTGAACAAACGTCTCGAGAAAGTCAACAGCGTCGCGATCATTGAAGACACCGGTGGCTTTTCGGGCATCATCGTAGCGGCGCACGAAGTTGGTCACCTGTAAGTCCGACCGCCACTGTGTACTATAGATGGATAAGCCGCAATACTTGTACATCGCTAAAGGATATTTTTCTTAGCAATGTCGTACAAGTCTTGGATCCGATCACGATCAATAACCGTGTGTTTGTTATAGGTTGGGTGCGGTGCACGACGGTTCGCCTCCGCCGACCTACCTGGGCGGACCGGGAGCGGAAAAATGTCGCTGGGAAGACGGATACATCATGAGCGATCTGCGGCACACGGAAAAAGGATTCCGGTGGTCGCCGTGCAGCGTGTCGTCTTTCCATCACTTCTTAAAGTTTGTAAAACATTCTTTCGATAAATTAAGCATGCGTGTAATATAATTATTATAAGTTAAGTCAGAGACGCCAATCTGCGGTAGAGCATCTTTTTAACGCTCTGGGAAATGCCCCTGTAATTTACAGGGAGTGATTAAAACCGTTGCCCGGCTATCTGGCTATTGGCTTTGAACCGAATAAACACATTATTATATTGACTGTCGCTTAAACGTTTTAATAACGAAGATAACATTTAATTTTCCACAGCGGTGACACGGCCACATGTCTGTTCAATTCGCCGCACGAAGACGAGTCACTGCCCAGGATGTTACCAGGAAAACTGTTGACCCTGGACGCCCAGTGCAGAAAAGACCGAGGGACCAGTGCCTGTTTTGTGAGTCGACATAATATACGCACAGTATTGAGTCAGTAAAAAAAAATAACTTTTTTTGATATATTTATTTGTCTTGCAGAAAGACGATCGAGTGTGTGCTCAGTTGTTCTGCTTTGACGCGGGTTCGGGCTACTGCGTGGCGTACAGGCCAGCGGCCGAAGGATCGCCTTGCGGAGACGGACAAGTGAGTATACACGAGAAGATAGCAAATGAATACACACACACACACACACACACACATATATAAACTTTTTAAACCTATTCATTTTGATAATCGTATTATGTTTCCAATTTGGTATGAATATATTTGCGCAAATTTATTGTACATAATATGCTAATATAATATATTATATTACTATAATATAATCTATAGTATTGCGTTTTAAGAAAACAAAACCCATCACGTTATAGTACATATATATTTATCGTAATTCGTATGTCAGTACTAGTCGTGATATATAAGTAAATTAAAATATTGGCATTGCAACAATAATCTTGTATTATTCAACCAATCAAATCGCATTGAATTCAGTTAAAGTCTAACGTCGAAAGATTTGATTTAAAAAATAACGCTTAATGCATCTGTAACTATTTATTTATCACTCATTATAAATAGATAATATTAAATTTCACACATTAACCCCTTTCATATCGGGCAAAACGCCAAAAACCGTTTGTGTCGAAACTAGTGCGCAACTAGTTTGATAATAATATACAAATACAACGCATTAAGTATGTTATATACCCATGTGCGCATAAGCATTATACGTGTATTTTATTTTTTACTCATGGTCGACACTCTGTTGTAGCATTGCACCAACGGCAAATGCATAACGGAACACGAGAACATAATACCGGATTTTTCGCAAAACACACCGGCTTACCTGCGCCGGTTGGGAGACGAAGGGGAAGCGACTCAAGACTGGCCGCAGTATTTGACTCCTAACATCACTACTCAGAGGTAAAATCAAAAACATAACCGCGCAGGTCGCAAACAACGCGTACTTGCGACGATTTCTGCGACCGCTGCGGTTGTATTTTACGTACGTCGCCTTAAATCGCCCTACATAATATTATGTGGTTTAAAGACGCGCGATTGACGACGATACAAGTAACAGTGTGTGTACACATGCTGTTATTAGATCAGGGATGGGCAAACTTATTTAACGGAAGGCCAACAAGTAAGCCCGTCCCTGATTTAAATGGTTCGCTATTCGCGCGTGTTTATGATACTCGTACCGGTATCGCGGCGACGACAATATTATTATTATTATTGTAAGTATGACTAATAATAAACGTGCAGCAAGTACAGGGCGTCTCGTATTTAAATTTTAAATCGATAAAATATTTCTTGTATACTACATTACGTTAGATTGGTTGTCTAGGATTTTTAAGAAACGCGAAAACCAGTTAAAACTTGTATTTATTTCGAGACGATTTAAAAATAATTATTATGATATCAGTGTGTTATCAGCTAGTGCTTACAGATTAAGTTTTTCGAAATCAAAAACTACATAAACATTGAACCGTTGACGATGTGGCAATTTGTACTGGTGTGCAATAAAAAATAATATAACAATAAATGGAAAATATTAATAATATTGTCGTCGGAGTGGTACGCGGTACGCACATGCTTGTGATATATGTACATGTTTATAATATGCAGCGTGTTAAAAGAAAGCGCGCGTTTTCGAGTAAAGCTATCCGGAATGTTAGCTCACCGTATAGATGAGTCGAAATATATCGCGACCTATATGGATTTTGGACTCTGAGCAGAGCAATTGTAATGGGCTTCGCGATGCTTTTAATTTTATTTTTCAAAACGTAAATTTTTTTTTTTCTCAAAAATATAATTTTTTCGACGGTAAAATGTAAAATTAATTAGTTTCGTGAAGCCTGATGCAGGCTATACATTAAATAATATAAATTTGTACCTCCGAGCCAATCTTGGTAGTTTTTTGGATAAACCCATTTTATTTTCTAGTTCAACTCAGAAGACAGAATCTTTTCATTTAATTACCACGTACGCATTGAGTTTTAGTCGAAAACGCGCGTTTGCCACAGGCTTTGTTGTTTGTGAATGTTATATGTTTTATATTTGTATGAATACTGTAAATACAATATATTATCATATATATGTAGGTATTATATACAGATTGTGCCACTGTATTTCCCACAAATAGCTAACACATGGAAATGGAAACACACACCAATTGCCCGCCCTAAAATATCACACACTTATATATCATGTAATACTAATGAGTAGATTGAAGATTCTAGATATAAGATATTATATTTTAAATAATCAGAGATGGGAATGGTTAGATATTATGTGCTACAATTTTAAATTTAACACTCAAAAATTTAAAATCTACACAATTTAAAGATAATAATTTACAGTAATATATTTTTGGATTTGGACACTACTTAATTAACAAAAAAAATAAAATAAATTGAGCGATGATATTTAAAATGTACAAAATCAAAATCTTGAATTTGAAAAAACTAAATATTTTACGTGGATTCAAATCCAGATTCTATTGAATTTAGTTTAATGAAAGACTTAAAGTTTTACGTTAATTTATTTTTGTTGCACCTATGAAGGTCTAATGCCTCCAACGACGATATTATGTATTATTATTATTATTATTATTATTTTTGTACAAACCTTTCTGTTGCCCCTCCCCCCTTGGCCCTTATAGATACATTGAACAAAATATACACACGCATATTATATATTATATAATTAGGGATCACTAAACATAATATTAAATTTAATATTGACAAATTTGGCGGCGTTTTAGGTCAGTGTGGAATGACTATTGGAGAACAACCCAAAAGACTATTGCCACTACCGCCAATACTAATAACAACCTGCACCCCCGACCGCAAAACTTGTACGTTCCGAACCCTTACCAACAACCTCCACAGATAACCACGACTAACGGAGACGCTAATGACGCGCGATTACCGACTTACAAACAACTATTACAACAACAACAACCACAAATCAAACAACTACAACTAGGTAACGTCGACAAAAACGAAGACCCGTTGGCCGCGTTGCTTAAAAACAAATACTACCACTCGGGGCCGCAAGAGTTGAAAACCGTCGATCGACCGCAGTCGTCGTCCAAGAGTAACGGCGGCGAACCGTACGGTAAGTGATCGAGTTTGCGCGAATAAGTGTAGCAAAATAAGGGAGGGGGGAAACCATCCACACATCGCATTCGATCACATCGTCATCATCATCATTTTATTATTATTATTTATATCATTGCGTGCATACGACAACAACGAAACAATAATAATAATCTATTGGCTGGAACGAAACCACTTCGCACTATATCTTTACGCTGATAATCTTCATAATATATTATATTATATACTACATAACATAACATAACATCATAAACATATTATGCTGCACGGACGACAACACGTCGTGATAATGCGCGTGCAATACGTGTTATATCTATCTATATATATATATATATATTATATATCTATACAGACGCGACACCTTCAGGTACAACATTAATAACTATATAATATATATACGCGTATAAGATATATGCACATTATTATTTATTATAATATATAAAATTATGTACTGCAGCTGCGCAAGGGAGTCCGGGTTTCGCGTTATAAAAATGATATGTCCGGCCGGATATAATGTACTCGAGACATTTCCCTGGCTCGGCGTGTACGCCGAAAACTATCCTCCTCTGGCTCACGGGCGTGCGCAAACTTCAATTTCCGGTTAAACTTGTAACAATTAATGCCCCAATATTTGGACAGTGTCCCTAATTTTTTTTTTTTTATCATATTAACCGTACACTCTTCTAATTGGAAACTAAAAACTGTGTAAATAGAATCAAGTTGTATGTGCACACAACATTAATGTGCTAATTAATTTCTAAACATAAAATAAAATGATATAAATATACCTGCAATCATGCATAAAAGACGAAGACACGATACCCGAAATTAAAAATAAAAAAACTTGGTTTAATGAACAAAAAATTGTATGTGCATAATATTTTATTACACAAACTTAATTAAAGAATTTTAAATGAATTCTCCTGTTTCTCGTACTATTTTTTGAATTCGTCAATGACCACGTCAATATCAACGGAGTAGATGTCAGTTTTGGTTCAGTAAACATTAATAATTTTAACTATTAGACCGGTCTTGATGCGTATAAAGTACTCCTTAATTTATTTTTTATTACTGTTGATTTAGAAAATATCCGTTCACAGGAACGACTCGTATCTGGTCCGTAATAGCTGGTACATTGGATAATTTCAGTGCGGTGAAAAATCCATCCATCGAACGATTTTATGCAATTATTTGCTTTCATATTATAATCAAGCCACGGACGTATCGATTCATTATTGCTTATTAGCGTTAGTATCTGGTCGAAATTTTACTATATGCCCCTAAAAAGACTCCGTGCGCCCCGTGCGCACGCCTGCGCGTCAGACCCCTGCGCATATTGTATCTTTGGCGCGAAACGCAAGCCCGTCGATGCCGTGCGACGGCGGTATATTCAATCTGTACGCTTAACGTTTTTCACACGGACATAATACCGTCGGTTATGAATACCAATCGTACCTATTTAACATAATATTGTCATAGCGATAATATCCAACACGAAAATCCACATTTTTTCAACGACGTTTTTACGCGTCGGTCGCCGTGTGGACACGACGCTAAACGCCTGTACGCAGTTCACGTCAAAACTATATAATATTGTAATATTAAGTACCCGCTTATCACCGTTGTTATTATCATCATCATCATCATCATCACCATTGTTATTATCATTATTACACCACGAGGCGTTGATTTTTCTCTCGACCTTTTAACGTATTATAATATGGACGCGACGACCGTTTTCTCGGTCGACCAATCGTCGATAGTCGTCGACGAGGGGGTAAAAAATCAATTATTTACTCTGTCGACGACCGGCTGTGTAAACGTTTTTAAGTACCGAGAAATCGAGAGGCGTCTATATTATTATGACATCGGTCATGCCGTACAAAAAAATCGCACTGTACCTAACGGTCTTCTTGCATACGCCATCCATTGCCAATCGTTCGAATCGTTATACGTATAATGTTCAAATATATTTTTTACTTTACGCCGAACGTATACGTGTATACGGATACGGCGGCATGGCCAAAACAAATCGGGAAAAAAACGAATGCATGAGAAATACAGCTGGGCGGCTGGTGACAGTGACGATTTCGTTTTTATTATCATACGTAGTTACGATGATAGTCGTTGGACAAACGCGCTTGTTGCTTGTACACAGTAGACTGAAATCATTGGTTTAGTCTCGTAAACCGTAATCGTCATTAACACAACTAGCACAGAGTTTAGTATTGTACCATACGCATTAATTATAATATTATAATCTAACATAATTTTACGTATATTATGCATTAATAATATTACTAACAACGCTAAATTGTGTATATTAACATAAACGGGGCGATTATTTAATCATAATATGATACTATAATATTATTATCTACCCGACCGGGTCAATTTTTGTTTGAATTTAAAATGGAAAATCACGTTTTATTATAGGTCAATGATCACTAATCAGTCATAAACATACTATGTTATATCTTCGTATATATATATATATATATATATATATATTATATTTCACAGACTGTGAAGCGATAAAGCATAAAGCATCGAGTACTGACATTTTATCAAAACTCAAAAATTGGCGGGTAAAGAAATTAAAAAATCGCCCCGCGTCATCTTTTACTATGCTTCAATATCATAATATTATAACATATTCATACACCACATTTAATAATATTATAATTTATAAGCCCGGGGTTAGAGTACATACAATAAAAACGTGGATGGACATACAAAGCGATTCTTTTACCGGTAGACACTAGGTACTGATATCTCGAAAAGTGTGAATGATTTTGAGAACACTAATTTTACTGCTGAGCATGACACAACTCGAAAATTTGAAATCGTTCCATTATTTTCTATCGTTTAAGTCGTTGTCCAAGTCAATTAATTTTTTTAAAGCCGTACGCTTTGTACTCAATATTCCGGAGTAGAATACTCGTAGTTTTTTTTTTTTTTTTACGAGAATCTAAATTCACAAAAAAAAGTAAAAAAAAAAAACCGTATAAGTACCCAAAGCTCTCGCGACTATAATAGTAGGTATATAGGAATATTGCGGTTGGCGTTGTTCCGAACGTCATCGACACTTTTCGAGTGCGCGCGACCGCGCCGCCGGTGAAAACCTTTGAAAGAATCGCCTCGTATCGTCATAAAAAATAATACGTCTGACGGAAAAGCCGGATAACACGATTTTTCTTTTGCTGTTTCGCCCGCAGCTGACGAGTGCGTGGACCGAGCCGGAGCCATGGACATGCTGGGAGCCGTGTCCTGTTACGACTACCTGTCTAGGTACGGCATGGGACACTGTTCGAATCCGTACATCCGGGAAAACTGTTGCGCCGCCGTCAAGTACGTGTGCAACGGGGGCGGTACGTCGCGACAACTGCAATCGCACCAGTTCGGCTGAGTCGCGTCGTCGTCTTCATCAACGATTGCTGCCGCGAAAAACACGCGCAACGACACGCCGCTCGACGCTCGGACGCAGTCTGCAGTTTACCCGTTCCCGTCCCACCAGCCAGCCAGCCGACCGGCCAGCCAGCCAGCCCGCCCACACGTACCTATCGTCAAGTTTTACGATATATATATATATATTTATATATAGAGAAAAACAAAACTAATAACCATATACAATCTCTGTGAGATCGATCTATTATTAATATTATTATTATTATTATTATTTATGCATCGTTATACATAATACATACATTATATTATATTCTTTATGAAAAAATCATTTGTTTTTTAAAGAAAAAAAAAAAAAACACTTGTAACTTTAACGCTGTGTCGTGAACACCTACGCCGCGCGCCGACCTATAGGCGCACATGGGTACGCGGCGTATCTAGGTACATCATAACCGCTGCAGTTGAATACATCGTACACACACACTCACACACAAATAACACTGGAATACGATATTATTATTTATTGCTACCGTAATACTATGTATATTGTTTTTTTCTGTTTAATTTTTATCATTATTTATTAGCCGTGGCGTGAACCATATCGACGACAAAACAAATCTCCATGAAAACCACACACACCGTGTCCCCCTCCCCCACAAAACGATTTACTGATTCTCGATCGGGAAATACTTTTTTGTGATAAGTCGCTACACATGATATTTTTTAATTACGCCGTTATATGTATTACGTTCACGTGTTTTGAAATCTTTTTTTATCCGATTCAAATAATATTGTTCCTCGACAACTTTAGGATAAAACTGGACTGAAAAAGATTTCGAAACCACGGCATTCGTGTTGTGATTCAAAATTTATTTTTGTTTATTTGTATTTGTAATTATTGATTGGCTAATTTTCTGCCTATGATATTTTATTTTTAACTGATTAAGATGTTGTTTAGTCTAAGTATGTTAAGTGACAGAAATGTACATATACAAAAAATATATGAAGAATAAGTTGAACGAGTGTGTTAGTTTTTTTTATTTTTTTTATTTGGAAACGTAAAAAAAATAATTATACATAGTAGTAATCATAAACAATAGTAAAAATTACCCAAAATACCAAAAAAAAAATTTAAATATTACTTAATTTTAAACTATTCTAATTTTATATCTTGCAGAGTTTTGACTAAGAGCTGTTATGTATGCACAATCCTGGAGATAGGAGGTAAAGTCAAAAGCATTGATTTTCAAACATTTTAATTATCTCCTTCTAGTCTTCAGGCTTATTAATTTGCTCTTGTACATTTTGAAGTGATGGTTGCTGTTGTACTTCAATGTTTTCTCCAGGATTGTCTATTCGTTTTTTGCCGACCAAACAATAACTTGTCTAGCGCCCAATCTAATCACCATGGCCAAACTAAAAATATCAATAATAATAAATAATCAAATACAAATATGTACCTACAACGTAAGTCTTTTATAAGTTCATAAATAATTATTAAATTGAAAATGTAATACTATTGCATAAAGTGTACCATTTTAATTAAAAAAAAAAAAAAAAAGTTTATAGATACTATTAAGAAAAATCTATCCACACTATGAAATTTGCTAAAGATACTAGATTAATTCGTTAGAGTACAGTTTACAGTTTTAATAAAAAATTAATAAAAATAGTATTCCTATAAAACTATTAACTAATAGTATACTTTTTGACATTCATATAAATATAAATACAGTTAATAATAACTATAAAATAATATAATTATAAGTACAATTAAATAAATTTGTTTATAGTATAAGTCTTGAATCAAAGCTTTTTTCAGTTAAATATACAACCTTAATGCTATTTTTACAACTTTTTAAGTGCCATAAGCAATACTGTGATAGTGTGATGTAATCATAAAAACAAATAAAAGCAGATTATGAGATCCTCAGGTGTACTTTTTAAAATATTTACATTCACTATTTTTTTGTTTTACATTTACACGGATGTTTTTTTTTTTAAAGAAACTTAAATTTGAGATGTTGCCAATATATTTCTTCCTCAACATGTTACTTATTTTATTATTAATCTTAATGTAAATATCAAATTTGACTATTGTATAAGTTTTTATATAGATTGTAAATTGTCTTTCAATAAATAAATAAAAAAGTATTTAAAGAGGTACATAATTTTGTTTGAAAAAAAAAATTAAGTAATAAACTAATATAACAAATAGTCAATTTATAAATGACTTCAAAATGTAAAATATAAATATAATATAAAATACCTAAAACAAAAAAACATTAAAAAAATTTTCTTTATTTTTCTTGGTTTAAGTTCCCTTAGAATTATTTTTCTCATTTCTAATTGATAAATTAATTTAAGAAATCAAGATTTAATAGTCAATTCATTTTCAATATTAATATTTTAACTACATTAACTACAACATAACTTAACAAGTTGTCTTATTTAAATGGTAGTTTTCAAGTTTAAAATGTTCTCATTTTCATTACATTTCCTAAAATTAATTTTTGACTAAAATGATTTATAATTTATTTTGAGTATAGAATTATTTTATATTACAACTATAACTGATAAATGCAAAATAAATTGTTTAATTTATAAATTCTATCCTAACAATTTTTATAATCTAAATAATTTTAGACTATAAATATTATAACATTATAAATCTTAAAGAGACTTCAAATATTAATATTTGTTCTGAAGTTTTTACAAAGTACAAATTATTAAATAAAAAAATTACTAAGTGAAAAATGTCATTTAAATTAATAATGTCTTCTATTTAAACTTTTCTTTAATAACAAGTAATTTAGATAAGTTAAATTGTACTCCAATGCTATAGAAAAACAAAATAATTCAACAAATCTTTATTATGTACTAAAAACAACCATATTAAAATAAATATTGATTCATATTTAGTTCCTAAAATTTAATATTTCCAATGGTTATAAAATGTATTATATTCAATATTTAAACCAAATTAAAATTGTTGTAATCTATTAATTTTATTCAATTCAAAACTATAATTTAACAGTTATAATTTAAATTATAAAATAATCAATATCCAGCTTTATTAATAAAATTTTCTGATTTGATTAATTCAGGCCAAAATAATTTTGCAAATAAAAAAAAAAAATCATATTTAATATTATTTTATTAGCTTATAGCAAAACAAAAATATATAAATCCATTTTATTGTACATTGTGACAAGATTTTATTTTCATGAAATCTAAGATAATCTGATAAACAACTACTATTTATTTTTAATATACAACGATTGGGAGGTACTAATTACCCTCAAGTTTCAAATTAGTTGTTTCTCCAAGTAATCTATTAGATAAAACTTTTTTTTAACTATTGTTGTTTAGAATTTTATTTTTTTATATTTTATAGTTTTGGAAAAAAAATATTTATTAAACAAATATTTGTTTTCAAATCAAAAACTTAATCTTGAATATTTATACTATTTTTACATTAATCATAAAAATATTAAGCGTGTATTTGATAAAAACTTATAAATAAAATGTAAAGAGATAATAATTAATATCATAATTTATTGAATGTGGGCAACAGACTCCAAGGAGATAAAGAACAAATTATTTGATTACTCCTTAACTTTACATCAATATGCATTATGCATACTATAAAAAGTATACATAAACAAAACTTAATAAAGGATAGAAATTTTCATAAAAATTCAACAAATATACATTAATATTTTTGACTTATCTCAAGAAGTTAATGATGTACCTACATTATGTATTGTAATGAACTAAATATTATGTAAATAATAATATACCTTAAAGCTGCCAGTATACCAGCTGGCATAATTTTTCCACTATTAAGATAACGAACACCCATTATTCCTCCAAGAACTGCACTCGTACCTAATGAAAGGGCCAAGTTATTAGGATTTTTTGTTGTTTGATATGCACCATACCCAAGTAGTGATCCAAACAGCAGACCAGCAGAAAGACTTGGAATACTTGCTGGAACCAAAAATATCAATTCAATTTATTTTTCAAATATTCTCACAAGATTAGAAAAATTGATTAACTCATAACTAAAAAAAAAAATAAAATTCCTTTTCATGTCTTAGCACATGTTAGATATACCAACACGTTGTTACGCTAATAAATTTAATTTACTATTTAATCTCTATAATTTTGAGTCATCGACTAATCAAACCGTGTGTATCACATAACAGTATCATTGTGTGCTTATATGTGCCACAACTGGCCCACAATATCATAATTTATAAGTAGGTACTGATTTAATAAAAATGAATGTGTAATACCTGCTTTAGCATAGCCTATGATGCCTCCGGCAGCAACCGTTGCGGCGTACGCAAATCCAATATAATCGACAGGCATCGTGAACGGAACGCCGGTCGTATGGTACGGTGACGATAAATTTTCCGATAAAAAACTTGCGATTATTTTTTTCCTTAGAATAAACAAGCAACGATAACGACTACGTAAAAATTTAATATCTTAGATAACCACCCGGTTAAGTTTGTTGTTTATTCGTAGTTCGTACTTAAATCTTATCGCCAGTCAAGGTAGTACTATTATTATTTATTACTCATTAGTTGTAAGACACTATAATTAGTTACTGATTGAATTTGTGTGCTTTCTGCATGTATGTATAAATTATGATAATGAGCGATTGGCGTGTAAAAAAAATACAATAATAATAATAATAATATCCATTTGATATTGTGTGCGCAAGTACATACAACAGTTGTATTCCCGCGGATGACCTTGGAATTGATAACAGAAATCGTGCCATTATATAGGACGGCCGGATAATCGTTTCCTTTTTACTTCAATTGTGTGTGGCGTGTACGCACGACATAGGTACGAATTAGTATATTTTGCTCAATTATCCATCACAACCTTTTTCGTCATTTATTTATAAAATCGATTTTTACTTATTATACATACATTATAGTAAGTGTGTGGTATACTTTCAACAGTGATTTTACAATGCCATACGATATTCCAAAAACTGTTTCAAAAATTTATATTCATACTGGAAACGTGTTAAATGCTAATGAATTGACACAAAAGGCTGGTCAAAATGCAACTGAAGAGGTAACAATTATTGAGTTTGTTTTTAAATACCTAATTAGATATTATATATTTAACTCGTTGCATCTACATGATTTTAAGGTAGTTGAATGTTTAAGCATTTGCCTGTCCAAGTATCCGTCACCATTTGCACTGAACGAAAGTAATGTACATTTAAAATGTGATGAATGCTACAATACTGATAATGAAGAAGATTTAGCTCTCAGAACAAGTGTCAAAATTTTTCTTACCACTAACGAGGTGGATGTTTTGGAAGATTCATTAAAAAATCGTAAGATACTAATTCATTAACTAGTATTGTGTTGAACTTAATAGAAATATGAATATGAAATTAATCTGTTTTAGTTTTTAAAGAATTGAATGAAGAAGTAGTAGATTCTGTAATTTTAGCATTTAACCATGGTAAAGATACCTTGTTAGCAGATTTATTAACTCTGTGGTCTATACTTGAAGGATATGTTAACAAACAAAAGATCACGCGTATAGGTGTGAGTGACATTGACACAGATCTGTTCATTTCTCTATACAATAACTCAATTGTAAGTTCATTGTATTTTATTTTGTGTACTAAATATTAATTAATTTTTTTAAACTTAGATTAAGCCAACAATTGTACAAATCAATTTGAACTCTTGTTGTGTTGTACCAGAAGCTCTTCAAGAATTTACTAAAGATAATGAAATACAGTTATTGACACACAGTGATTCGAAAGGTATTTTTTAAGTGTACCTAATATTAAAAATATGCTTATTTGCAATATAATGTATATACATAGAATCTTTGAAATTACAGTCATTAGAACAATTTATGATCTCTCAATGATGTCTTGTCACAAATATTAAGAGAGTTTATAAAAAAATAAATATATTTTGAAATAGGTTTTACATTGAAAAAGAAGTTTAAATACCTTATATTTTAAAACTTATATCATAAATTCCAATATTTTTTTATATGGTATATTATAAATATAATGAACAAATATAAAAATCCAAAAATAAAAGTATATATTAAAACTTACGCCTTTACCATAAAAAACCCTTCCCTTGAAAGAATTGGCCAATATGTTAACTATTTTACCCATTTTTCCCATAGATCATTTTCATCTATATAGATGGTTTTTTTTTTTTATCTGATTGTTTTATAATTCCAGTATATATAATTAACAATAAATACTAATTTTAAATTATAATTTCATTAGGTACTACGTTAACTTATGAAGTCTTTATAATGAAAATACATTAAAAATATAAAAAATATTCTTAAGTATTATTACTAAAAAAATAAAATTTTAAATACAAATATTTATTAATTATATGTGTTCTTCTTATTTAACTTAAATAACATTATATATTGTCTTGTATTAATAATTAATTTACAAACATTAAATTGAACCATAAAAAATAAATAAATAATCAAATTATAAAAAGCCATTATCATGTATTAATTTGTAAAAATTTTCAAAATATTAGTAATATGTCATGTACTTAACCCTACTGATAAAGAAACTAGAACAATGGATCTAAAAAGAATATGTCTGGTCACCATAATCATATATCTACTAACTACTACAATATAATAAAGTAGGAGACATTGAATTCCGGTTATAATAGAATTTTGCTCTACAGGTTAAACTAAAAATGTGTTATCATTAGAGAATGGATAAATATGAAAACAATATGCAACATTCTTTGAAATAGATATTCAAGATGAAAAATTAACTAATTAAATAGGTATGCATAAAAATCTAAAATAAAAACAAAACTTAAAATATGCTATAAATTTAACTTATTTTGAATCTATCATAGAATAGTCTTAAAAACAATGACAAAATGTAATAAAAATTCATTGCCAATTAATTAATTAAATTTTAAAAATCAAAATATTATGTTTTATTTTCTCTTAATTAGATTTTTGTAATTAAGTTTTAATTTTTTACTAAATAAACTATTGAAAACTTGTAGTAAAGTAATTAACAAAAATAATTATGTGGTAATACATTTTTAATAATCATCATTTTTTTCTTTTTTGCTAATGTATGTTTTGTTTATAAATGAGTATAATTTCTTAATTTTCAGAAATTTTACCCCAATCGTGCTTAGCTGAAGTTTTTGGTCATCAAACTGAACTCAAACAAAAAATTCCTAAGCTTGAATGGATGATAAGATACCTAACTCATGTTAAGTGCAGAGGAGTTTTAGCAAGTAAAGGATACATAGTATGTCTTAAAAGATCATAAAATGAATCAACAAGTCTAGAAGGCAAATCATGATGTATACACACATTTTTTTATTATTAAAAAAATTTATGAATTTTATACTTATTTCTTCGAACAAACTAAAATTGTTACTAAACAACAATCTTAAATTGTAATCATAATATTTTTTTACTCTTGTGAAGGCATCTAAGTCTATAACTTACACAAATATTTGTAACCTTGTTAAATTTATGATAGTTACATACTTTTATAAATTATATAACTATTCTAAATGTTAATAAACTAAACATAAAAATGAATAAATAATTATTTAATTTTATACTTGATACACTAAAATTTTATATATTTTTTATTAAAATGAATTTCTGATTAGTTATTATAATAGAATTTAAATATTACTTAATTGAAATTGATATAAATATCAAAAATAACTATTTTATTTGCTCTAAATTATTTTAACAAAACATAAATTAACTTAATAATTTAAAAAATATTAATTCTGGCTTTAAAAATATTAAAATGAAAATAATTAAATATGTTTAATTTTTTATAATTCAAATTCTTTTTCAATGTTACATATAGAATACATTATACTCGAATAACTGAAAAATGTCTATAAAATTAATGTTTAAAAGTTTAATCATTATAACTTTCACAAAAGCTTACTCGTGTGATAATATCTCAACTTAATAGTTTTGGCACTTAATATAAATCTTGATCAATAATAATACAATCCACACTGTACAACCTTAATTTGTATTTTATCAATACTTCACTATACATTTTTAGGGTACTCATAAAATAAAATGTATCATGAGAAGATTTATTTATATAACTGATATAAATTTAAAAAATATGGTTTATATCATGGTAATTTAATATCAATAGCATAATATATACAAATATACAATATGTTGAATAATTAGTATCATTTAATTAATATAGGTAACTTATATATTAACGAAATAATTTTGGCTATTATAATTTATCTCTTATAAGAGTAAGCTCAAGCAGCAACCAATTGCAGTGTGATTTGGTTAAACCATACTTCTCATTAAATCGGATTTTATGGTCAGCTATCATATTTAATAATCGGTCACAGCAAACATAAGCAAAGCGATTGTTAAAATAATAAAATAAAGCTTTCGAGAATGAGGCACTCACACACACTGATGATGCTATGTGCCTGAGGTATATCAAACTGATCAACAATAGTTGATAATATTTCAGGATAAAAAGAAATAACCAACGATCTTACATATCAAAATTAATATATATATATATTTAAGTAATATATTTTTCTAAAAATAGATTTCTTATACATTATAGACTTAAATTACCTATTTGGTTATTTTAAATTTATAATAGTACCCAACATTATCATTTTATTTTTATCCTGAACATTTCTAAGCATTCATTTTTTTGAATAAATAAGTATTAATTTGTATTAAACTAAAAATATCGTTATTTTAAAGCTGTAATAATAGTTGACAATGGAAGTTGTGGGAGGAGACATACATTAAATTTCTATGAAAATGAATTTGAAATTTTTTAAATTTAAAGCAAAAAATACAATTAAACAAGTGAATAACAATTAAATTACAGACTTTATACACAAATTATTTTACGACCCACTACCATTGTTTCTAATTACCAAATAAATACCCAAAGGAAAAGCTTTTTCTCATTTAAGTAAGTGTTTCTCAATTTTAGATACTAAGCTCTATAATAAAATCTAAACTCTTCCTACAAAACAAATCTTTGTTTATAAATCAATGTTGAAACTAATTTGTACACATGGAGTTGTGCTAAAACGATCAATCTAAAAACATTGAGTACAAGATTCCCATCAATTTTCCTCCAACGAATCACATCTGTTCCCTGACTCATTTCCAACCGTACTCTCCACAAAGATCTACACATTGAAACAGTTGAAAACATTATTCAATTTTGAAGAAAATTCTACTCAAATTCACTTCACCGCACTATTTTACTAATTTCAAGCCAATCTACAGTCAAAATTCCAAGAAAGACACTGATATGATTTTTGAGATTAAAAATTGTCACCATTCCAAGTTCTAGCTTGTAACCTCTCTTAAGGATTCTATCAATGGATAATTTGCCTACTCCCAATCCTCCAAGCATTGTACAATTTAACTCAAGACCTATTTTCTTACTGAATATCTACTAATTTTTTACAGATTGTAAATGTTATTTTAAAAAATATATAATAAAAATTTAATTGTTTTATTACAGATTTGCTTAATATTTATTAATTGTACTTCAATATCAAGGATGACATGTGTAAGTATATAGGTACTTACTTTTGTATGTATCTGTACTTGAACGCATTCAAAATTGGAAATTTGAAAAGTAAACAATTTCAGAAATTGCGTAAAACTTTCTTGTTGTATATAGGTTGAATAGTAAAGACCGAGATTTAAAAATTAGAAAACAAATCAAAGCTATATAGTGTTTTATAAGCATTTAAACAATATTAAACAGTAAACACTGTCCCATCTACCTTCTATTTCATTAGGCTAATGGAAGCATGGAGTAGATGCCAGATGGACAAACATCAAACAAACATAACACACGCGAGATAATCAACAGCTAAGACTAGACTAATGTATATAATATAATAATATAATATTAGTAATGGGATTATATTATCATAAATTCCGATTTTGGCGCGATAAATACAAAACAAAAATGGTTTCCATGTTAACTCTACTCCAAATAGGAAATACCATCGACTGATAATAAAAAACAAAAATTTTACTTCAAAAATTGTAACATACTCGAAAATGTTACGAGCAATTTATATCAATTTGGAAAAAAAATATTTTGGGAAATCTTTTGGATTTTATTCTCGCACACAAAACGCAATCTTCTCAAAAACAAATACGTTACAATGTTGCCAAATTTAAACTACGATTAAAAAACAACTGAACAACATTGTAAAATAGTAATTTTGTTTGGTATCACTATCAATTTTAGACTGAGTGTTCGACTAAATACTAATATTATATTTTTTTTTATACTTTTTACTTAGATGTTTAAAATGTTTTGATACTTATGTTTTATGTTGTACCTAATGCCTACTACTTAGTATTTATTAGTTTATTGTTATTATTTTATTATGCGTGCAGTAAATTATTTAATATTTATACCTTCTGTGTCAAATCGAAACAATTGAGTACTTATTTGTTTAGTGGTTGCTTGATGCCAGACGCCGCACTTGTTGTCCCTTGACAATCGTCGTGAATCATTTAACTGCTTTTAAGTTTTAGTGTTATAAAACAACCTATACTCACTGTAATGCAATCTGAATGAATCAACGGCAACCAAAAATAATATTAAACCAAAAACGAGTGAGTATTTGGCTAATCTCTAGAATTTAAATGCCGGGTAAAACGCACGGCGTATAAAAATAATATAATAAGGGCATTTCAATTAATAATAGTTCTAAAGTTTGAAATTGTGAATTAAAATATATCTCATTGCTGAAACTTAAATTTTAAAATATATTTATAGAAAGTTACAGAAATGAAAATATTAATTGTTATTAACTTTGTATTTTGTTAATATATCTCATTATGGTTGTGTAAACAATTACATTATTTCTTATACTTAAAATTAACTTCAAAATATCATATTAAGTGTTTAATGTACACATTTTTAATCGATATTTTTTTTTTGCATCAAAATATATATATATTTTTCTCATATACATATAATTATAAAAATAATAGTTCTTTGTCATAAATATCATTATTATTTATCTAATCAATTAACCTTGAGAATGTCAGCATGCATGATTAGAATTATTATTTTTCTAATTAATTTCTAGAAATATGCCTTTATACAGAAATGTGTTAAAATGTGTTATTATTTCATAGAAAAATTCATTTTTTTTTTTTTTTACAGTATACCTAACCTTTTAATCTACTCATTTTTCAGATTATATTTACCTTTATTATTTTATAATTGTTTAGAAATATGGCTGAACTGGAAAGTGAAGATAGTTCAGATGGTACCTTAGTTATCGATGAACCAAATTATGATAATCAAACAATTGAAATATCAGATAATTCTGACTCTGATGTGGAAATTGTTAAATTAAATGATAATATAAATGATAATTCAGATGTGGAAGTTGTTGAATTAGATGATGATATAAAAGCTAATTCCGATGTGGAAATTGTTGAATTAGATAATCATATAAAAAATGTTTCTTTTTCATTGAATCCTTCAAGTTCATCCACTAAAATTGGTTTAACATGTAAACCTTGCTCTAGAGTATTTTCTACTAACAATGAATTACTCAATCACATCAGAAAATTTAAGGGAAGAATAGGAGGTTGTACCAATATACCAAATAATACATTAACTAAAAGAAAAGATGTTGAAAGCCCCAAACCTGAGCGGTTAATTAAAAAGAAACGCGGCAGGCCACCAAAAAGTAATATTATTATTGCTCCTAAGATTCCTTTACCTGTTCCTAAAATCATTCCCCTAAATCGTCCATCAATACCAGATTTAATACCAATAGTCTTTAAGTCGAATACCAGACCTACTATTGCAACCAATAATAATATTTTACCATCTCTTGGTCAAATATTAATTGATGAAATTGAACCAGAACATCCATGTACAATATGTGGTGAAATATTTCGTCATAATATTGGTCTTTTATGTCATTTGAATGCTGAGCACAATAATGAAACTAATAAAAAAGATTCAAACAAAAAAGAAAAATCAACAAAATTGAGAGTAAAAAAACAAACTAAGGAAAAACATCTTGTTAACGAAAATAAGCAAATAGAAAACTATGAGCCCATATCAGACACTGTTGATTTAACACTATTGCCAGATATTAAAAAAGACAGTTTGATAAATAGAATGAAATCTTATGTGTATTGTAATAAAGGTCAAGTAATTTGTGTTCTATGCAATATAGACTTCAAAAATACTAAAAAAGCATTAGCTCATGTTGAAGATAAGCATATAATGAATAAAATAGAATGTGGGTATTGTAATATGAAATTTGTTTATGAATTAAAACTAAGAAGTCATATGGCAAGAAGACATAAAGTAATAAGTGTTCACAAATGTGATAAGTGTTTAAAGATGATAAATAATGAAGAAATTAATTCTCACTCAGAAAAATGCAAAGAAAAAGTAAACCCATTAATAATCAAAAGAGAAGAAGATATCTAATAACAGTTAATAAAGTTAAATTATTATTTAGTCGTAAGTAACATATTAATTTAATACCAAAATAAAACCATACTATAAAGTATCCATTTAAAATATTTAGTTATAATCAAAGAAAAAAAACAATAATTTTGTTAACTTAAGTCTGTCTAACGACAGATCATGCAGTTTTTGTGCATTTAAAATAAAATCATCCAACTACCTGGGCCGATTTATCCCCTCTATGACTCCAAAATTCACGAGAATTTGGTGAAGTATGCACAAAGTTGACTAGTTTTCATTTAAGGCATGATCTCTCGCTAAACAATGTATAGGTATCAGTTTTATTATTATTATTTTTTTTTTACATAAAATTTAAAAATCATGTAACATCTTGGTGTCTGAGTCTTAAAGACAATAATAAAATTATATATTGTATTATACATATAGTACATTAGATAAAAACTAAAAGTTTTATTTTAGAATTAGGGAAAATTAAATATGTAGTTGGTTGTCTAGTTTTTATTTTGTCATTAAAATCAGCATTTTACTTTTAAAAAAGTCAAGTTAGAAATTCTATGGAAATAAAAAAAAATTCATAATTTTTTAATATGTAAGATATGACAATAGGTTTTGTGGATTGATTCAAATTAAAAAAATTATTTAAATATGTGTGTTGATATAACATAATAAAATGTGCGTGTTTTTTGAACATTATTGATTTATAACATTTTACTGTAAGTTATTTATTAAACATTCAATCAGTTTATTCAATTGTCTTTTATAATAATAAAATAGTCTATTAAGTAAGTTATTGAAATTTCTTTTTTTAATGTTTACAGATCAAAAATGTATTTATATTATCTAATATCTACATATATGTTGAATTCAAACTAACTCTGTACTCAGTTACTTAGCATCAGAGTTGGGCAAAATTTTATCTAGATAACTATTCAAATAAAAAATTATTCGGATAATTTCAAACTGTTATTATTCAAATAAAAATTATACTAGGTAGTACAAAATATGTATCATATAATGGTAATAAGATTATAATTTATAAGTCTTCTAGTTAATAATAGCATTAATTATACTATGATATATTAAACTAAATTAATTTTTTTAATAATTTTATTTATTGAAATTTAAAATTTGCTATATTTATTTATTTTCATTTTTGCCAAAATATTTATTTACATTTTTGTTATTACTATTTACTACTATTTATAATTGTTGTAATTATTACGAAATAATATTCATATTTTAATATTACTAAATTATTACTAAAAAAAATATGTCAAATTCTTTACTTTCTTCTATAGATTTATATCTGTTTTATACATAATATTTTATAATATTTTCATCGTCATGTAATTTAAAATACCTACAATGCCAACTATTAGCCTGTTTTTAATTACCAACCCTATGGCTACCCAAACAAAATTAACGAAAATTACTCGAATAATAATGTTTGGAAATTATCCGAATAATCGTGAAAAAATCATTCGAATAAAATATCTAAATAATCATCTAAATAAAATTTCATTCAAATAACGCCCTACTCTGCTTAGCATGTTTAGTTAATTTAATTACATTTTGATAATACTACTCAGTTTCAATCATATTATTAAATATTCATATAACTTTGTAAGTACCTGCATAACAATTTGAATTATAAAAAGCTCACATATTTGGTTGTAGTAGGGTATGATTGATAAAAAAATATTTTACTGAAACTTTTATACATTTTAATTACTTAAGACATTGAGTCATTTGATGTTTAGAATGTTTTTATATGTTAGCTTTTTGGGAAAACAGTAAATATGGTAACTCATTTTATAAATAACTAAATTAAATAATATTTAAGGAAACCATTATTTGTTGCAACTTGCTGTCAGGTTTTATATAAGTTAAATACATTTTGTGTTGGTAATAATAATATTATGATATTAAAAATTATGCAACTAACTATAGAAATTATTTAATATAATATTTTATTTAAGCTTATGGGTAACTTTTATTACTTTTAGTGCTCAAATTTTAGACATCATTATTTTATTGGCATTAGATAAAGTAACTCAAAACCATAAATATTTAGATTTACAAATAATAAAAATGAAATATAGCTGTTTGAATAATTTATAAATAGCGATCAAAATTTTTCATTTATAGTCAAACAGTACACAATATTTTTTAAATCAAAAAAATAAATTAGGGTTTTTAATTTAAAAAAAATATATTTATATATTATAAACATAAGTTCAATTTAAACTAAATTTAATAATTTTTTATCTCTTAGAAAAATAATATTTTACTATAACCTTTAGTTAAAAGACAACATTGTGTATTATTTTTTTATTTGAGTTTTATTTATGTTTTACTAATATATTATGTTCCTACAAATACATTAGTAATGTATTTATTTTATCTTATACATTTGTTAAAATAGTATAAGTTAACAAAAACAAATTTCAATTACATTATGATGCTTAGTTATTTTATTTAAATAATGAGTAATTTGTATTATGTTTAAAATAGATCATATTGATTTATAATTTATTTATTTATTCTACATTTAGAAACTATTTTATTGTCGTTAGTGTTTGTTAAAATCTCAAAAATGTATTGTTTATCAAGCTAGACATTTATTTTAAACGCTGTTTTTTAATAATAATTATTAGACTTTGTGTACCTAAAAAAATTAATTAATACCATTTGAAATACGTTTTTTAGTTTCAATTATGATAAAAAATATTGGCTCAATGATAAAAAATGTATACAAAAATAATAATTTATACATATATTTATATTGATAGCTGTTCTGTGTTGAACACAAAAATTATATAGAAATATGTATTTTTGTTTACAAGTGGATCTCAACAAAGCTTATTAATCTTCCGTCTATTTAAACTTGAAAACAAAATTCAAATTAAAAAAAAATTGTTCATAATACATCACTGATTGAATTCTATTGTGTATATTATATTAATATTTTAAAGGTTAACATAAAAAATTTGTGTTCTACTAATAATTATTATTTTTATGGTAGAAACTATCAAACACGAAAAAATTATTACGTAAATAAGTAATATACAATACATCATTTTAAATTCAGCAGCATTTATCATCACTTATTAATATGTCGGATAACAGATTAATGTACTCAATATTTGTAAATAGTTTTTGAAAGTCTAGAAAATGTATTTTAAAAATTAAATTGCACAAAATTATATTTTTTTTTTATTATTAATTTAATAGTGTGATTTTCTTTGATAATGAAGTTTTATTTATTTTTAAGTTACACCTATTTACCAAAGTAATATAATAAAAATATAAATTAAAATTAAATACATTTTGGGTACACAATTAATTTGTAAATTTAACTTTTTAGTCATTTTGAAAAAATGAAGCAATAACAGTTGATAAATTCAAAGTATATGAATAAACATAAAATAATATAATTAAATTGTTCATGATTAAATAGTTATTAATTAATACTTTTTAAAAAAAAAAGACTAGTACCAATAAATGTATTTATTTTATTTTTATTTATAATTAGTCAAATTATCTAGACTGATATAATTATTTAAATGCTTTTTGTTTATTATATCTTATATTTATTTAAGTTGTTTTATTTTGTTAAAATTTACACGTATTATAATATACTTTATAGTTATAGTGTATACTCCTACATTCAATGTTATAACCTAGTCACATGTATTTGTTGTTGTTTTTTATTTAAAAAAAAAAAAAATAAATAAATAATAAATAATAGTTCATATTTTCTTATCTATAATTAGACAAAAAATACCAAATAGTAAAAATAGTATTCCAACCATTGTTCCTGAAAATAAAATATTTAATATTTATTAAAACAATATTCCTTTAAACAATTTTTTTTTTAAATTCTATATTATATCATCTATATAGTTAAAACAATAAGCTTAAGTATAAAAAAAAAATTAAATTTAAAAAACAAAGAAATGATGCTTCTTAGTGGGGCACTTTAACTTCTTTGGGGTTTAAAATAAATGTTTTTTCTAAAATATTCAAGTAATGATAATGAAGTTTAAATTTTTTTTTTTAATTCAAGTATGAAGTGTTAGTACAGATTTTAAAAGTTGATTTATTATTTAAATTTTTTTAATAGAACATTAAGTAGAATACAAAACATGTGGTGAAACTTGAATAATTTAAAAATTTAAATTGTGAATGAACTTACTAAATTTTGGCTTTTCTTCTCCAATCAAGGTGCCTACTATTGATGTACTCACAAATGAAACTCCATTTGCAATAGGAACAGCCAAAGATATGTCTAAAATAATTATTAATCATCTTATTTTTGAGGAGCATATAATACTAATTACCTACTAACTAATAATAGTTTAAATTTGACTTGTCAAAAAGTAAATATTCTTTTTCTTTTTACCTGAATATTTTAAAGTGAAATAGAACAACAAAGAACCACATTGGTTGATAATAAATGGTATCATATACTAAAATAGAACATGATTTAATTTACACAGATTTTTATTATGTTTATAAATTGTATATAATACTCACATGCCAATTGGTTACATGATTAATGACTTCTGAAATTATATTAAATGTCTTATTTCTTTTTACTTTATTAGTTGCAGCTTTCAGAAATGGGTTTGTGCTGCCCCATAAAACACCAACAATAAATAGTTGAAATATTGAGTCTATAACAAATTATATTGTTTTAGTATAAAGAAAGTTTAGATTGAGAATATAATTTCACCAGTAAATGATAATAATAATTAATATTACATATTATAAAGCCAAACATTCACAATTCAGTAGCAGTTGGCATCCAATCATTTTTATTTAGAAAGTAATTTTTAAATCGTATTTGGTTTTTCGAAAACAGTGCTGCGCAAAGGCCTTTAGTTCGTTATAAAATGCATACGTATATTTTTAAATATTAAACGCTTACAAAAAAATTCCGGAAAATCGCCGAGGCCTGAGTTGTACATTGTCCCCATTGAGTAAGTAACTATAATGGTCAATGGACATGTTAAATTTGAATTCAATGGTTATAAATCATTGTAATGTTATAATATAAAACACAATTTTGAACAGAAACAGTTTATCGGCCTACTGTAGGAATATTTTATTATATATGTATATTGCTATTAATCATGCCGAGTGTCATACGTATAAAATAAAATTACTATTAATAATTTATTTTTCTATTAGGTATTACAGCATGTTGGACAAATTTATACAAAAAAAAAAAAAACAATCATCTAATATTATTTTATAGGTATGATATTAGTCGTTATTAACCATTATTAGCTTATACCTGTATGAGCCAGTGTACCTACCGTAAAACTATGTGAATAAGTGTGTAATAAAAATAGCTTAAATTTAATCTAAAAATTTTGAATATTTCATTGCTTAAGAAATAATATAATAGTAGCGAAAATTTTAAAGTCCTTATGAAAATGAACAATATATTTTTATTTATAACAAAACTATTGAAATTCGATTTCCTCAGAATTTAAATTTGAAATACGTACATCAAAAATGTGTATCTATATAGTTTTGATATTTTTAGGTCACTATAAATATGTTAGAAAAACTTGTATAGTATTTAGTACAATATTTTAAAGTTTTTTGACCGATCATAAAAACTTTATTACTCGAAAAGTTTTAAATAACAAATGCTAATTATTATCATAAAATTACTCTTAAATATCTGGAAAATTTCTTTATTTATAGTAAATGATAATTAAATTAATATATGGCTAACAGGAGAATTTTTCAAATTTCTATGAATATTTTTTTTTTGAACAAAATTTCAAATTAATAATTCATATAAAATATATGAGGTTTTACGCGTTAAACAATTTAACATTTAGTAGTCCATAAAAAAAAAAATTAATCAAGTTAAAATCTTATTTGAAATACTCAATGGACGACTAATTTGAACAACTAATGGAAGGTCTGTAACCAAACATGTACTTGACCAATTACTCTATTATTGTTGCTGCATTAGAGGTTATAAGATAGATGGTGAACTTTGGCACATGAAAATATTTGTATTTCAATGTTTAATCTTAATTCTAAATAATTGATTATAATAAATTTAATTACCACAAACAACTTCCCGATCAGCTCAAAAAAATAAGTACGAATATAAAATCTTAGATATTATACCATGTGTCCACGTGAATATGTTATTAATGTTCATTAGGTAATAAGTAGTAGGTACCTATTGTAAGGATCTTATTTTATTTTTTTTTGAAAAAAATTTCAGCGAATGCTGAATGTATACTAACAAATGTGATGACAAATTATAAGAATTACATAATAATATGGTGTTCTAAATTAGTTTGATATGGAGACTGATAAACCAGTTGGAAATTGCCATAATAAATGTATGGTCTAATTATACCTTTGCCATCGATCATTATGAGAATGGAAGTTTGAATAAATTAGTGACTATTATTTACTTTTTATTTGTAGAACAATAGTGCTTCTACCTACTTCATAATATCATTTTATTCTGTGTAATATTGCAGACATTCCAGTGAATAACATACGTATGTGATTGGTTGATGTGTGCGTTTGGTAGTACAATAAATAGTGGTTAACGCAGAATTAAGAAACAACATTACCCCTTCAAAATATGTAATGGACTAAAAACTTCGATATAGGTATATGCAAAATGTTTCCTTATAATAACATTATTGTTTAAGATTTCATCCTACTGTCTCTTTCGACAACGTGTATACTCGCTTATGGTCTTCACACTTGAATACCAAATGTCACACTGTGTTAGTGCTAATGATCTCACACTACCGTAAAGTAAAGGGTTTAAAGCTAATGTGTGTAGGTGGTACACGGGTACTTGACTTCGGAAAATGGGGCGAAAAAAAAACAATGTATTGTTTCAAAGTTTACCGATCTATATATACGAATATAGTTGAATGAAGGCAAACAAATAAATTATATATATATTTTTACAACAACAATATTCCCGTAGTCAGGAATAACAGCAGATTCGGTCTCGACAGTAGTAAACGGTACGCTATTATAACACGACGGTAAACTACAACAAAGGCGGCACAGGATACAGACGCGTTGGTCGAAGATCACCGGATCTTCTTTTCGGGTTCCTCGCCCGGCTTCCGGTCTCTGGCTAGTTTCGCCCGCCTCTCGTGCTCGGCCGCCTTCTGCGCGCCAACAACCTCGCCAAACTCCCGGTAGTTGGCGTTTATCAGCTCGCTGCGCTCATCTGCATCTTCCCAAACGTCGGTGACCGGCACGCTCTCGCCATACAGATGGATGTGACGCGCGTTGGCCGTGATCGCGTCGTCATCCATCGCCGGTATGAACCGCGGTGGTATGAACGCGCCGACCGCGTTCCTGCCCTCACTGATGATGAAATTGTACGTGGCCAACGCCGCGTCCACCGGCAGTATCTCGACGGTGCATCCGTATTGACGGGCCGCTGCCCATACCACCTTGTCGAATTGCTGTCGGTGCAACTGCAACTTCCGGTGGTTGTCGTCGCGGCGATTCCGCTGCGTGGAGTCGCCCAGGCCCAGCACGATGACGGAAGGCGCGGGTTCCAGGTGGAACAGCATCGACAGCGAGTCGACGTTCACGTCCCGGTCGTTTTCTACCCGCCAGGCCATAATCGAGTTGGCGAAGCACACGACCGGTCCGAGCACCGTGAACCCGTTGTTCAGCCGGAAACCGTACTGGCTGTAACCGGAAATCATGATGCCTTCCCGGATGTTGTTGTTGTTCAACATGGACACGTACGTTTTGCCGTCATTCTCGTACGCACCAACGGACCGGCGGGGCTGCTGTTGCGGCGTCCGAGTGTTGCCAGCGCTGAAGATTCGTGAGCGCGACAACAGCAGCTTCCGAGCGGCGTTTCTCAGCGACATAATGGCGGCAGTCGATCGATCGCGAAAAAACGGGGAATAAAATTATACTAAAAACTATAGACAAGCAATGATCGTACCTTCCATCGCACGGGATGAAGACTGTTCACGGCCCCGTAGTTGTGTGGGGTATTAGTGGCGTTGGCGGCTCTGAATTATCTTTTATTCTTTTCTGTGTACCTGCAACGAACACCGTCTCTGATAGTCAGTACTTAAAAATTTTAAATTCAAAATATATTTTATTCGAATTTTAAATTGTGATTCTTCTCCTTATCAGATATCACGCGCCGTCTGTGGTTCTTATCACCAAACCATCGATACCAGTGTTGACCGGGTCGACGCATAGAGCATGGACCGCCAATTGGTGATCACAAGTCTTTATCATTTATAGAACAAGTGCTTATCACTTAAACTCAAGGTTGTTGATAATACAGTAAATTAAAAAGAACATTTCTTTATCATCAATCATGGCCCTACGCAGTACACAGTACACACAACAAGCTCTGCGTGATTATAATATACATTATACATTATACATCGTGAGCCGTGGCACGTGAGTTTATAATTTGAGTTTTTTCACAGATATTTTGTGAATATTGCATTGAATTGTGTTTTGTGAACACGAGCCACTACACCAGATAATTCAGCATCTTCAAAGCTATTGTGGAGTAGAACCTAAAAGATCAAAATGGTAAGTTGATTTTAATTTCGATTATTGATAATCAACTATTACTCTTTTATTAATGTTTAACACTAATTAACGCAGAATTTAATTATATTACTATTATAATAACTATTTTTATTATTACAAATAGTAATAGTAGTATAAGTACTTACGATTAACAATAGTTAATACCTAGAACATGTATATTTTATAGTGTACACGGTTTAGATTTTATTTATTCAAATGATAAATATTTATATTTTATTAAATTATATTTTTATACTTTATCTTGGCATAATCGATTTATTATTTATTCTTGTTTAACCAAACTTAATAACGAGTAATAAAAAATCATACAAATTTGATTTCTGGAAAACTTTATTTTTTAAATTGTTTGTTGCACTATATATAAAAACTTTATACTTATTATCATTTATTGATATACTGTGTAAGAACTGAAATATTATTATTATTTTCAACAATAATAAATGTTCAAATTTTTAAAACTAATATAGACCTTTTGGTAGGTAAAACAATTTTAATATTAATTATTAATTATACCTAACATTATTTATTTGTATTTTACTTTATAAATTTGAAAAAATAATGATAATTGTATTAAAATTTAAAAATTAGGTGTGTAATCGACAACCTGCCATTTTAGTATTTTTCAGAATTATAATGTATTTATCATATATATTTTTATATTTAAATTGATTTTAAATATTGTCGAGGTTAAATTTTCACTTTAAAGTTACAAATTACTAGATAATTTAAATCTTTTGTTAAGTAAAATCCTAATAATATCAAAATAATTTGTATTTTTATAGCCAAAAACGAAAAAAAAATTTATTGAAAAGAAAAATGCTGTTACTTTCCATGTAGTACATAGAAGTCAGCATGATCCACTTGTTACTGATGAAACAGCACCACAACATGTTTTGGTACCTCAACAGCCAACTCAATCAAAAGGAGTTAGTTTTTTGTATAATTTTTTTAATTTATTCAGCTTTATAAAATACAATAATTTATTTTTTAGAAAAAAAATAAAGATGAAGAAGCTAAATATGGCATATATTTTGATGATGATTATGATTATTTACAACATCTAAAAGAAAGTCGATCCAATGATTTTATATTATTGCCCGCTCCCACCAACCATAATAATGAAAAGGTATAAACCTTTTTTGATATTTTATTCTATATTAAAAAAAAAAAAAATAAATAAATAATTAATTTTTCGGCTTATTTATTTTTATATAATAAAGAAAGAAAAACCTAAAGTTATGTTACCTTCTTCAATATTTGAGTCTGAAGTCGAAGAAAAAGTAGGCTTGTTAAATAAAGCTGCTCCTCAATCAGGTAATATTCAATAAATTAGTAGAAGTTCAATAGGTTAATAATATAATAAAATATATTGTGTAGGTTTGCGTTTGGATTTGGACCCAGACATCGTCGCTGCAATGGATGATGATTTTAATTTTGATGATCCAGATAATGAATTGGAAGATGATTTTGTAGTAATGGCAAATCAACCTGGGTAAGTTATTTTATTAGTGTTTTCTTATTTTACATGTCTTGTATTCTTTTTTATTTGGTTTCAGATCAGATGATGATATTAATGAACTAGAAGACATAAATGAAGAAAGTGATAATTATGATAGTGAGGCATATGATGATGTTGGTAGCTTAAACTATGATGATACCAAATCACGTTTTACTGATTACTCTATGTCCAGTTCTATTATAAGACGAAATGAAAATTTAAAATTAATAGATGATCAGTTTGAACAAGTATTGATTGTTTTACTTTTTAACAAGACAATTAAAAAATTAAAATAAACAGAAAAACTGATGGTTTTTTCTTTTTTTATCATTAGATGTTTGCTTCATATGATGATGCTGATATTGGAGCGTTAGAAACTGAAGAAATTGAAGGTACATTGACAATGGAATCTGATATGTTGAAAAAAGCTGCTGAAGAATTTGAATTAAATATGAAAAAGGTAAATTTAATATTTTTTGATTGTAAAAAGTTTTATATTTTTATAAATTTTTTGATATTTTAGGATGAAATACCTACTGACAGAACTGCTGCTTTGATCTTTGATAGTGATTCTGATCAAGAAGAACCTACTTATAAATTACCAGTTGAAGATCAAGATGTAAAAAAATGGGATTGTGAAAGCATCATTTCTACATATTCTAATATTTATAATCATCCTGCTCTTATCAAGGACCCACCAGTAAGTCTAGAATATATTTGATATTATATTTTGTTAAAAATGTTGTAACTTGTTACAAATATTGCTCTTCTTAATTTTCAAGAATAAAAACTTTATAAGATAAAAATATAGTTATAATGATAAATATAATATGATTTTAATGATTATAATTTAGATTCAAAAAATACAAATAAATCCTAAAACTGGTGTTCCAATATTACAACAAAGACTTACAGCTAAAGCGTTGAAATCCTTGGACAATAATGATACATCAAAATCTGGTTCTAAATCAGTGATATCAGCTCTATCTGTTTTATCAATAAGACCAAAAGATGAGACACCTGAAGAAAAACTAAAGAGGAAAAAAGCACTCAAAGAATTTAGACATGTATGATTCTTTATTAATCTTAACTTACTTTAATTATATATTATTGTGCTCTTTTTATTTTTAGGAAAGAAGAGTAGAAAGAAAAGCGAACACTTTGGCATTTAAAGAACAGAAGAAAAGAATGGAAAAAGAATTAATCAACAGAAATGTTAACAAAACTGTACGTGTAGTATAAAAAGTTTTGAGTATTCTGAGAAGTATCATATTTGTTATTGTATGTATAAAATAAAAAGTTGTAAATTCTTTATTATTAGGATTTAAATTTATTGAAAAACTTCAATTGTTCATCATTATCAAAACTTTTCCTAGCTTATGTCATTTCCAAATTTAAATAGCTTAACATAGTCAGCGTGTAAGATTTATAGAATTTGCAAATTTATTACAAAATGAATATTCTATTGTTAATAAATTAATAGCAAAAGTGTTTGTAAGCTCTTAGTGGAATTAACAAACTATATGTATTATTCCTAGATTTACCTTTATAAACTCAACCAATTATAACTAGACAGAGAGCGTGGTTAATTGTTGTTACTACATATTCTTCTAATAAATATGATTCAATAAAATGTGTGATATAACATTTGGATGATAAAACAGAATCATTTAAAAATCAAAAGGATTATTTAAGAGCAATATTTAAAATATTTTGCTTTTTTTTTTAAATATTTTTTTATTTTATTTCTGAAACAATTACTAATATAGAAAAATGTATATTATCACTTAATAATGAATTATTAATTTTTGATTTTGATTATTTTTTTTGTGTAAGGGTCCTTGGTGATAAAGTAAAAAGAGTAATTACATTCACAATACCTTAAAGTTTAAATATTAGGAAAATTAATAATATCTAATATGTTATGTTTTTATATTTTGAATGTTAAGTAAAGCTGAAAAGCTTTCAATTTGGATACATATTATTAAGTATATCATTTAAATTATTTAGTTTGAAATAATTATTGATGTAAAATTTCAAATTTTTCTAGTTAACTATACACAAATTTAATAAATAGTTAATAAAATGAAATTGGACAACTGTATTAATATTTAATTATTTTACCAATTTTTTAAGATTTTCAAAAGTAATTGAATACTGTCAAAATTTAATTTTTACATAAATTAATAAACAATTATTAATTCTAAAATCTTAATGTCTTTATATTAAATTTTATTTTATTGTAAGTTATGAATTAATTGATATTTATTAATTATTAACAACTATTATTCTTAGTCAATTAGACTAAATTACAAATTTTCAGTGTTCCAAATAAGAAGAAATTGTTTCTCACATATTGATAGCTAAGCAAAGGATGATATAAACCTCCTTATTATGACCAAGGCACTTAATAGTTAACTCACTATGTTTATTAATACTTAAGATTACAGAAATGGTTTTGATTATGTAATGATAATTAATTTTAAAAGGGGATACATACACAAGCTGGGACCAGCCAGTTTTTAGATTTTTTTTAGTTTTAATTGTTTTTATTGCTATGATTTGAAACAAAATAATGTGACTAATAAAATCACATATGTTTAAATATATATTACAGTATCTGTGGACAATGCAAGTAAGAAATTGATTTATTTTTAAAAGATTTTCATACTAAAGAATTTAACATTGTTATGGAAATAAAGTACTTTTTATTAATTTTCTGATATTTTACTGAATGTTTAAAAGCTAGTTATTAAAATAAAAATTTAATACATTATTAAAGAAATGGATACAAAAACAGTTTTGAATTCAAATAGAAAATAAGATTTAATCTTTTCTACGGCGTTTATCACGATCTTGTTGTTGTGGTTGAGACCTTTTAGACGCATGCTTGGCTTGAGTCAAGAACTGATCCAAACCAAATGGATCCTCTTCTTGTTGATGTTTTTCAAATTGAACAGGGCCAGACCGACCACTAGCTTTAGGATCACGATCTGTTCCACTAAATTCTTTGTTGGGGACAAATCTAAACGAAAAAAAAAATTAAAATTACTTAAATATTGTTATAAAAGATAGATAAAATTGTGTTTCTAATAAAATCATTGTTCTGTGAAAACACACAGAATTTTCCACCAACAGCTTTGAATTATTTAGTTTTTTGTCTATTAAATTTGAGCTTCATTCAATAAATAATAATAATATAAATTAAAATACCAAACTTACCTATTTGTCTTAGCAATTTTCTCTAAATCATCACCATACACATCTTTATCAATATTAGCAGATGGACGATAAATATGTTGAGCCAATGAGCTGTTTCCACGCCAAGGTTTATCGTACACATTATATTCTTCATCATCTCCAAATCCAGTATCCATACCAGCTGTTGTATTGAGCAAACGTTGATCATATTGAGTATCTCCAGTTTTTCTAGTGATCGCTGGGAGTCCAAGAGCAATTTGTTCACTTATATCTCGATCTCGTAATACTTTGTTTTTACGGCTGTCAGCATTTCTGGCAAGATTACGATCACGAGCTCTGTCTTTTTGACGCTCCAAACGTAATTGATCACGTTCACGAGATTCATCATTCTTAGCAGATCCAGGAAGCCGAATACCTGCTCTTTCTTCTCTGGCTTTTTGAGCCATTGCTCTAAGATGTTCCTCTTTCTTTTCCTTTTCTTTTTGTGCCATTTTCTTTTCCAACTGAGCTCTCATTTCAACAGCTTCTCTGGCTTTACGATCAGCTATGTATAAAGCCTCAGCCAACTTAGCAAATTTTTCATTAATATGATTTTGTTGTAAACCTCGACCATCAGCAGCTAATCTCTTGTCTAATGGAATTGTATAACCTTTGGCATTTTTCCAATTGGATATACACGGTGGAATTTTCCATTCTTTCTGTTCTTTAACAGATGTCTTTCTAGTTGGAGAATGCATTAATGGTGCAGGAGGTGATGGAGGACCTCGAGGAATTTTTTTATTAATTTTGAATTTTGGGGGTTCCATAGGATCTTTCTGAGCCTCTACTAGTCTTACTACACGTTGTTTTGATCCTGAATTATATTCTGATCCTTGTTCAGTAGGGGTATAACGGAACCATTGAACAGGAGCCTAGTCATAAATATTATATAAAACAAGTATATTCATAAAAATTGAGAACATTGTAACTTACAGGTTTATCTGCCGCTCGTACTGGCAATGCAGCTGAAACTTTAGAATTAGTCAACTTTTCCAGAGCTATTCTTGTTTTTTCAGTGATTTCTGCAACTTCATCTGAATCAGGCTTTTGCAAAGAAGGGTCATCTTCATTGATCACCTCAGATGGAAGCATATCAGATAGTTTTGAATAAATCACTTTATCTTTTCTTTGACCTTGGCGAGCAATCACATCATATTTAACTTTACCATCGGAAGTTAACTGCAATGCAAGAGCATTTGAAACAGATTCTTTATTCTCTTTTCCCATATTCAATGGATATTGCGCAACTTGGATTTCCGGAAAAGCACCGCCATCTCCAAAATCCTAAATAAAAAAGTAATAATTTTAATTAAAATATACATTAATTGTATTATAAAAAGCGTCATTCAGTATTTGAATATAATATATAATTTAATAAAGGTTTTAAACATATATTATTTATTTACTATTACTGTACTGGTTAATACTCAAATTTAATTAAAAAATAGTTCACAATATTTGAATGTATCAAAATCATTATTATCAAAAGTATTACACTTTGAATACCAGGTGTAGTGACTGCTGACTTTAATATGATAATGTATCTTTGTCTATATCAAATAATAAGTTCAATTTGTAAAATTTACATTATTAAATAGAAACAGTTTATTCTAAAACCAAAGTTATTGCTGTTTTCTCGTGAAAAATACTATTGTATTAACATGTTGACTGCAATCTAACTTGTTACACATAATATTGTGGTAAATAACATTTAACTACAAAAAATACACCAAAAACTCATAAAGTATCATGTTAAAAATTAATGTTGCTAAGATTTTGAAAAATATCTATAATTATGTAAATAGTTACTTGACTAGAGCATTAATTTTCAAAAATTACTCTTATTCATGATCAACGATGTAACATAACAAAACAAGTAACAAAATATTTCAAAAATTACTTCAACAGTCCTTGGTACCCATCCATTTCTGTTACCGTATGGTGGGATTTTAACAGCATACACTTCAAATGTATTGGTTTTCTCTGCAAGTGTTTCGTTAGACTCGTCATCTTCTTCCAAATCCTGAAGGAATTGTGTAGGTGCTGGTAACACACTGAACAATTTATAAATTAATAAACATACACAAAATAATAAGTTGCGATAGGTTTTTAATTTTTGAACTATTAATCTAGCTTTTGCTTACCTAAATAGAGACATTATTTATCTTATAATTAAACTTAATACGATAAAAGTTAGCAATTAAATGAAAACAAATTATGCCTTAGAAATCAAACAATAAACCTATCAACTAGAACAGTCGACAGGTATGAAAAACGAAGTGAAAAGTGAATAGTATGATTTAATTCTTTGATAACTAGATTGACTTATTGAAAAAAATTATGTAAATTACTATTTACTTATTTATCAGTGTGACCACCTCATCACGGCTGACGCTGATTGTTATATGCAGTTACTGATAAAGATAATAATAAACGGCTTATCAGTTTATCACCATTTAAGATAACTTTAACCATCATCAACAATATAAATATTAAATATTCATTATTCAGATGACAGATAATAGATATTGTACAGTATACTATATTGAGTATATTGAATATATTTACTATTTTTTGCCATAATATATTTTGTCTTCAAACGTAGATGGCTAGCTGTATCGATTATTGACCTACTTATTATACAATTTTTTTAACTACCATGAACTGTATTAGATACATTTAAAAACATCGAATTGATCCCTTCTATAATTGAATCGCTCAGAAAATTATATTGAATTAAATTATTTACTGTTCACGCCAATCCATATCCATACATTCAAAATTTTGTTTTTTAAAACGTTTTAAATTCTTTAATCAACATATTATGATACATACACATTAAATATTTAATAATTACATTGTCATAAACCTTAACACGATATAATATAATATTGATAGATAACATAATCAAAGATATTTGAGTTGTTTAACATATTAAATTAATTATTTCCAAGAATTCGCCTTGTGTTTAGGTAAAAATTGGAATCCATTAGGTACTGGTCCAAGTAACATTTTACTTATCTCTATCCAATCAGCACAATTTCCACTGGCCATTAATGTCTCTAGATCATCTCTTCCACTGTAATTTGGTGGTCTTTCATTAACTTTTTGAGGTACACGTTCTAAAATTCCTACAGGAATATATCGATAACAAAATGATAGCCATTCCAATAAAAACCTTCTAGTTGTTTCCACACCTCGAGTATCACTACCCCAATGTTCAAGACCATATTTAACAAATTTTTTTAAAATTTCTAATCGTTCATTGCTACTTATATCCCAATGCCGATTTTCTTTAAGCTCTTTAAATATCCAAGGCTTTATCAAAGCTCCTCGGCCAATCATAGCACCTGTTATATCTGGATATTGATGTTTTGCGTCAATATAATCTTCATAGGACATTATGTCTCCACTGCTAAATACTGGTACTGGACTTGCCAACTTGGCACATTCATTAACATAATTCCAATCAGCCATTTTTGTATACCTTTGATCTCTTGATCTTCCATGAACTGTTATAAGTGATACTCCACTGTCTTTGAACATAGGTATTAAATCGTGTGTAACATTTTGATCCTTACTTACACCTGATCGAGTTTTTACTGTAAGAGGTACATCAAGTACTGTTCTCATACTTTTCAAGCAAACTTCTAATTTTTTACTTCTAAGTAATAATCCACTACCAGCTCCTTGCTTATAAATTTGATCTAATGGACACCCTAAATTTAAGTCTAAGAAATCCATATCTACATTTTCTTGTAGGACTTGTGCACTTTTAGTCAACATGTATGGATTATTACCACATACTTGAATTCCAAATATGTCTTCTGTTTCATGTCTTTTAGTCAATGCCCATTCTTGATTGTGTCCTTGTAACAGACTTGATGATAAAACCATTTCACTGCAGGTTATATCAGCCCCAAACTCTTTACAAATTCTACGAAAAGGTAAATTACCAACTGTAGTCAAAGGGGCCAAATATAATTTATTTTTCCAATTTATTTTTTTAGAATTTTCTTCAATTAAAGGCCCTAAGTCTTTATCCTTATCAATTTTTTTAACAGCGTCTTCACTTTTTGTAAAATTATAATTTTTTTTTCGTAATTTTAACATATTTTCTTTACTTAAAGTTTTATAATTAATTTCACTTTTAATCCATGTTTCATATTTGGTTTGGTCAACAATATTTTTGCCATTTACGATGTGGCTATTTCCATATCTACAGGTTAGTCCTCTAGGACAACGGCCCTTAATAGAATAAACATAACATGTTTGGTCAATATCATCAGGTTTTTTTTCTAAGTACTCTGTAACATTGTGTAAGAATTTACATCTCTCAAATGAACAAGAACCATTTTCTACACCATCAACAAGATTTGAACATAAGTGTTCTTGTGGAATTTGTTGGTAAGTACAATTTCTAGATTTGTTCTGACCTTTTAATACATTTTTACTACACTTTTGCTTTTTAGAAGGTGGTTCATCTTCATTTAATTGGTTTTTATCTGACTCAGAAATACAATTTATGGCTAACTTAGGTACATGTCTCTCAATGATATATTCTTTTTTTATAGACGCAATTCCCTTATATTCCTCTTTAACAATTGCTGTATTAATAGTATCAATTGTAGGAATTGTTTTATTATTTAAACTCAATAGGTCTTCATTATTGGATGACATTTCAAAAAACCTAAAAAAAAAAACACAAATGTAAAATTATTAAAATTAAAATTTTTGTCCTGGTTTATAATTAATTTTGCATAAAAATATTATGAAAGTAGCAATCTCAGTATAATTATTTTAAACATTAACAATATATCACAATTTAGAAACTAATTTATTCGTCATTTGTTAATTGGAGATTAAATGGCAGAATTTCAGAACCCAATCATTATTATACTTTAATGATCAACACTCATAAGTTGTTAAATATACGTTTACATTTATATTCTATGAAATATGCTAGGTGATTATTCAAATAAATATCTGTAACAACTTAATTTAGTGAAAAAATAAATAACCCAATGATTTTATTATAAGATTATTAGTAATAAAAAATAATAACATTTCAGTATTATTACATAACATATATTTGTAATAAAATACAAAAATTTTCAAAAATTTATAAGTTACCTGTTAAATTTTTCAGGAAGATAAATCACTTTATTGGTATATACTATGACGAATTAAATAGTCGTAGAATATTTATGGTTTTCTAAGAAACAAGACGAGTTAAACGAGTCTTAAAAATTATTTTGATATTTTGAACGTAACCAACAAATTAAAAAAATTGTTTTTGATATTGATAATGTATTGATTTATTTTTTTAAACTGTTTATTTGATAAAAATTTGTTTTTAAAGTATTGCATCACTGTATAGCGTTTGTGAAATGTTATTGGTGCACCTGGCGATAATGTGGAATTTAAACTGGGAAATGTTTTCCTCCGCGATTTTTACGAAATTTACAAATTTACGAATCATTTCTAACTTGGTTCCGTATTATTGTTTCTAATACGTACATCCATCACTTTCAATTTGTTTCATCATCGTACTATACTCACCATGGAATTAATGTAAGTACATTTAAAGTTTGTAAATAATTGAATTTTCGGAACGTTAGAGAATTCATTCAAACGACAATTGATACAGTTGTTTGCGCCATTTCCTTTCAAATAGTAATTCGTTCAAATATCTCAATGAACAATGATTTCAAAATATTTCTCTTGTTCATTTTTTATGTCAATTCTAATTAACCAATTATGAGTTGTATGATATCAGTTGAACATAACTTATATTGCTAAAACTTTGAATTAGTAAATGTTTTTTGTTCATTCTATTTCTTAATTACTTTCATTGTGAACTTAAATTTAAAGTCATAAGTATATGATACTTTATATAGTTTGATTTCATTGTGTGGGACTAAAAATAAAATTTCATATATTTAGACAAATTACAATTGTATACGTAAAATTTGACCTGATTATATTATTAATGCCGTGTTATTATTTATAAGATCTGGCATAGTTTTAGTTATTATATTGATATTCCACACCTCATGTAATAAATTATACAAATATTTTAAATTTAATGGTTAAATATAAAAAAATATTTATTGAAATATCTAAATTTGTTAAAATTTATTGTTTTCTTGTATTTATGTTCAAACTAGATGTTTTGACTACTTTGATAACTACATTTCATTTCAAACTGCATTGTATAACATAATTTCTAAATAATTTTTGTTATCTATTCCTGACAATTGAAACTATATAATTTCATTGTTCTTATTATATATTCGTTTTATATAAAAATTAATTTCATGATTTTGTATGTTTCTTTTTTAAATATTTACTTTTGTGTTTAATTTACTTCTGTTATCTACCTTTTCTTTTTTTTAATAATATAAGCTTGGTCATATAAAGACAGAAATATTAGTTAAAAAATTCATAAATTTAGACTCTCCTCTATTTATCATGAGATAGAGGTAATTTAACGTTTGAACTTTCAAAACGTTATATCTACATTAATGTTGAGAAACCAAATATATTTTAAAATATAAAATAGTTAAAAAACTGTTAAAATAATTAATGTATTTGTATTATCCGTTTATGATTAGTATCTTTTTCAAGTATGTTTTTTTTTTTTTTTACTATGAATCAATAATACTTATTTAACAATTTATATTTGTTAACAAAAACTTAAATTCTAAATTAATATAAATTATGATTTGATTTTAATATTTACTCAAATATTAATAAAAAAAATTAAGTTATTTAAGTTGTAATCACTTAGAAGCAAACAATTATCATAAAATTAAAACATTCATTAGTTTTATAAAATTAACAGCTAATATAATTAAAATATTACTTCATCTAAAAAATATATTTTCTAGGTATTATACTAACTTTAATATATTTATTGTAGTAAGGTTAGATTATTGGGGTTATTTCTCAAAATATCTTCAATAAAAATTGGAAAATACTAAATAATTGTTTTGTTTTTTTTTCAGGTTATTATGGGATTACTGCAATTTGTTAAATTGTCAAAGAATATTCATTTGAAAAATATTCCTTAATACATTATTTCAATCTATTAAACACAGTATTTGTATTAAATTTAATTATTTGTTAAAAGTTATTAAACCAAAAAAATGGATTCAGATAGTAGTGATATGGAAGTAGATGACGAATATCGCCAAACAAAATTGTGTCCAGCTGTTTTAGGTTTGCAGCCAGTAAATAAAAGGAATAGTCCTAAAACTATAGAATCATCAAATTCGGTAAAAGATAAATTAAACAGAAGAGGTATGCCTGCTCGTATAAGGAAAAAAAATAAATTATTTTTTGATGAAGAAGTATTTAACACATCTAAAAATCCATCTGTAAAACAAGAACGTATGATGTATGTAAATTCTCCTAAAAAACAAACTCCAAAAAAAGTTATTGAATCTAAATTAGAACCAAAAACACCAAAAACGCCTAAACAAGAAAAAGTTGTTAATCAAAAATTACAAACTCCAAAAGTTACTGTCAAAACAACACCTACAATCAAACTTAAAACTCCCAATGTGAAAACACCTATTAAGAGTACTTCTAAAAAATCTACTGAAAATGGTATAATTAAACCCAAACCTGTAAAACTTGAAACTCCTAAAAACATAGTATCAACATCCAAACCAAAATCTGACTCTCTAGAACGTAAACGTTGTCAAAATGTTGGATTAAGACTAAGGAAAATTTTTCAATTACCAAAAGCTAAGAATTGGATATATTATGAGTGGTTTTATAGCAATATAGATAAGCCTCTTTTATATGAATCAGATTTCATGATGTGCGTACAAGACTTCTTTCCCTCCTTTAAAATTAAAACAATGACTAGGACTGAATGGTGTATGTTAAGGCGAATGATGGGTAAACCTCGTAGATGTTCTCAGAATTTCTTTGATGAAGAAATTCGAGAATTGGATAGAAGAAGAAGAAAAATAAGATTGTTACAACAAAGAAAAGCTAGAGATGAATTGTTGTTTAAAGATATACCAGATGAAATACCTTTACAACTTAGTGTTGGTACAAAAGTAACTGCAATGTTAAGAAGTAATACTGAAGATGGTCTGTTTAATGGAACTATTGAAGCTTTGGATGTTTCTAACAACACATACAGAATACATTTTGATAAGCCTGGCTTAGGTACACACTCAGTCCTTGATTATGAAGTATGCTCCAATCAACCCCCAGAAACTATTTCAAAAAATGTTTTATTACAAATGTGTCGTCCGCGCGTTCCTTACCATAACCGTTCAATATCACCTGAAACCAAAGTAGACATACATAAAACCGATCAGAATACAACTGCACAATATTCAATGAAACTTTTAGAATCTACTGTAAAATTTAGGAAAATTTTGACCGCAAAAAAGCAATATGTACAAACATTACGTAACATGAATTCTGAAGCTGAAAAAATGGTTTTATACAATGAAGATATAACACCAGAATTTCAGAGTCGATATGCTAAACTTGTTTTGGAATTAGATAATTTAAATATTCATTTAACATCAGTTATGTGTGTTCTTAGTGAAGAAATTAAAATATTAGCGCCTGAAGAAGCCGAAACATGGCCATTAATAACGGATTATTTACAAAATCAGTCATTTGATGAAGCCGAACAAATGATAGAGCGTAACAAAGAAATAACTGATTCCCGTTTTATAACTGATGACCAGCCCATGTTATTTTTAATTAAAGATTTATTAGCTTTAATGCTTCAGGTGAAGACATTAACTGAAAATGAACCTACTGCATATGAATTGGATGCTTTAAAAAGAACTATGGTTGAAATAAAACTTAAACTTAGTCAATCCAATCAAAAATCTTTTGAAAATTGTGTAGAAATTCATATGCAGCAAATTCAATCTAGTTTAGATACTTTTCATACTTTATCCTCTTCTAATAGAAAATAACATAAAATGCTTAAAACATTTTTTAAATTATATTTTTAAAAATGTAAAAATATTGTTATGTATACAAAGGAGATTGATTATTTGTGAAAGTAACAACACTTAAAAAGATTATTGATTATTGCCATCATAACTTATGTTTTAATTGCCTATATTTTAATAAATTTAACCTTACATAACCGATAATTTAAAATTATTTATAAGTAAATAAAATAATGAATACACTGATATCAATGAGGTTTTTTTTATTTAAATTAAAAATCAGATTTTATTTAAAGATAAAACAATAAAAACCATTTAATTGTTTAAATTGAATTGCATTATCACTTATATATTTAAAATATTCTTTAAGAGACTACTAATTATTGTGATGTAGTATATATATTTAGCTTAAGGAAATTTGATTTATAATGATTTTGATAATTAATTAAATTTCTTTAAAAATTGGTATACTTTTCAGTTATTTATGATTTAAGTTATTTTATATTATATTATAATAATTGCAAAAGTAAATTTGTTTCATAGTGTTGATCTCCTTTTAATTAATAACATTATTTTAAATATAAAACTAATATGTTATAAACAATTTATTGATATATCTTTTTTTATTATTATTACGCGTTATTAAATTAATATGATATAAAATTTATTTTTTTATTTTTCTTCATAACAATTTATTTTATTTTAAACTATTCAGCATCTACTTAAGTTTAGTTATATTTGTAATCAGAAACGTATTTGTTTATATTTACAATTTAAATTATGAGTTTTATATTCACATTATAATATGTAAAAATATTATTATTATAAATTATAGTTTATGATTGATTTGAGTTATCTAATTATGAGTAGATTGCACTGGATTGTGAGACAATTATTCTTAGTTTTCAATTCTAAATGTGTTTGTGAAAATTGTAGAAAATGGTAGAATTATATTATGTTATATTTGTTAATTTATTAGTAAATATTAATATTATTTTACCTTTAAAACTTGGAATTTATAGATATAAGCTAATAATAATAATTTATACAATTCTTAAAGAACTGATCAATAATTGAATAATATACTCTATATTATTTACATTTCCTTTTAAATACTTGCAATATTGTGTGCATTATAAAATATTTTAATAAATATATTCTTAACATATATTTTTATTCAAACAAGTGATTTAAATTTATTAATTATGAAAGTCATTATTTTTAATGTTCTAATTGTTTCAAAATTATTAATTAATAAAAATTGATTTTATTGTATTTTTCCTTAAATTTTTAAATTAGAGTTATTAAAATAAGTAAGAGATTAGTATTGTGTAAACATTTGTGTACATTTATGTATTTTAATTATAATTTTTATAAATTGGATTATTATTTATAGGACCTGTACTATATATATTATATACTTATATATATATAATTTTATTATTGATTGAAATGTTTAAGAAATACAAATATATAATTTTAAACCAGCAAAATATTATCCTTTTGATTGGATAAAATTTAGCTCAATACATCTACAACGAATGTGTATGGTGTTATAAATATATTATAAACAAAATTATAAATATTAGAATTATCAACATAATGTGTGAATAAAAATTATATATAGTATACATAATATTTAATGCTTTAATATTTTATCATTCTTGTCTTTGTCACCTATTACCATTAACAATGATACAATTTTATTTCTGCAAAATGTCCACACATAGTGAAGTATAATTACAGCAACCATCCCGTTTTTTTCTATATATCATTGAATACTTATAGAATGCACATGTATAGTGATATTATCTGTGTTGGCATTTCAATATTGCCTTAAAAATGTTAGTAATCATTTTTTTAAAGAAAATATAGAATTTATTTAATGCTAACATATAAAGATAATATTTATCAATGATGTATTAAAAGTTTAAATGGCTGTAATTTATCTCATTATTTCTTTATTTATTTACTTTAATAAGTAATTTAGGTGATATCTTTATTCTTTATGAATAAGTGATAAATTTTATTTTTTATTAGATAAATACTTCTTTTAATTTTGTTTTACACCCCCTTGAAAAAACATAATTACCCTTATTGTATAAAACTTTAAATATTGCCATAGTAACCAATGTGTATGTAGGTACTTTATACTTACATAATATTATTAATACTTACATGTAAATAGCATATGGTAGTATTGTTTTATAATTTATCTTATTTAAGGGCAACAATTTTGAATCTGAAATGGATAATATTGAGACAGAAAATCACAAATTAAGAGACAAACAAAATACATTGGAAATTGATAATGATGTTGAAAATATTCATAGAGATGACTTGTGCATTGAAAATCCTGTTGGATTTATATCAAATTTACACGAATCACAAGATAATAATAGAAGTTTTGATCTTAAGGGTGAGTAAAAGTTGTAAGATAATTAATTTAAGTAACTATATATTTTATATTAACAAGGATTTAGGTGTACCTAAAACTCGAATAAAAACCTCCTCTCCCTTCAATAATGATTTTTTTTTTCATATTATTCTCTATCAAATTTATTATGCAAAACAAAAATAAATATTAAAATCCAGATACTTTCAAATGAATAGATCACTATATAATTTATACATATATTATAAGTAAATTATTAATATTGACTAGGTACAACACTAGATGGTAATATGTTTTTAAGCTGATTTTTAAAAATGTATTACTGTTTCAGAAGAAAAACTTGGAAATGAATTAGATCAACAAACTAATATAATGGATCCAACTTCATATACAGAATTATTGAATTTTGAAGATACGTCACCAGAATCAGAAAATCTAGTTGATGATCATTATTCACATAATCTAGATATAGAAACAGAAACATCCAAAAAAAGTTCAAATAGTATATCATCAGGGTTTGAAAGTATAAATAGTGATATCACATACATAACCCCTAAATCCATAAATAAAGAAATATATAATAGCCAACTAATTGTACTAGAGCCAAATAATCCTGTTATGGTAAGATTTCAGAAAGCACTGAAATTACATTTATTAAAACAAAGAGAAAATATAAGAAAAGAATTACAAACACTCGTAAGTATATTTATTTTAATTTAACTATATCTGTTTTATTTCAAATTTATTCAAATTTTTTTAGGATGGCTTTATTAGATCTAAACAAAAGGAAAAATCTTCATTTATAAACGAAATTAGTAATGTTGCTTGTAGAGTTGACTCTCAGTCTAAGTTATTGAATGAATTCCATAGAATGAAACAAGAATTAAAAATAACAAAAGAACGCGTAGAAGAATGTATTGAACAAAGAAAACAACACTATACTGAAATTCACACAACAACTACAATTGAATCAAAAAAATGTAAATTATCTTTTTTTTTGAGAAACATATTTACTATTTTTTATTTAAATTGTATAAATTTTAGTTTCAGCTTTAAAAAGACAACTAGATTGTAGTCGAGGACTTTTAAAAGAGCTAGTAAAGTATGAAAAAGAACAAGAAATTACTTTTAATGTTTGTAATCAAAAAAAATCTGAAGCTAAACAATACAAAAAAAAATTATTAAATGATCAACAAAAACAGGTAATTCTTAAATGATCTAAAAGACAATTTTGAATTTTCCTATTCATACAATTAATTTTAGATAATTTTGCATTCATACTAATATGAAATGGAATTTTAACATTCAAGAAATAGGATTTCAAAATATATTTTTTATAACGCATGACAGATATTTTAAGTTGTAGGGAATGGAAAATTATTTAACATTTATTTACCTATATGTTATATCTAGGATTTGTTATTACTATCTTTAACCCAAGAAATTCTTCGACTGGAAGATCGCATGAAACAATTAGGTGAACTAGCAGAGACAAAGTATAATGAAAGAGAAGTTTTGAGACAAAAAGTTATGAACAATTCAACAGATCTTGATGCTATTAATGAAGATAATGCTAAGATTACATTGTTATGGAATGATGTTTTAATTAGTATTCAACAATGTGATAAATGTTTTCTGAAGACAAAAAATGATTTACAGTAATTATTGTATAAAATTATTATAATAATATAATTTATTAATTTGAATCATATAAAAATGTCCTTATTTTCTCAAAATTTGAAATTTAAAAATAATATTGTTTATGTTAAGTGTAAACTTTAATGAATTATTCTTATAAATAATAATATTTAACCAATAGGCCAATATTTTATTGTTTATAAACAGGGTGATTTTGATTCACTAAGCATGTTTATCCCCCATTTTTTTATTAAATAAATTATTTATTCAAATTTTTATGTTTAGAATGTTTAAAAATACCTATCTACTTAATTAAAATCTTTTAGTTATTAACGTTTATTCTTAAAATTAAAAAGTCTTGAAAAAGTAGTGCTACAAAAATATAAAATAAACGTTATATTAATTCTAGTCTTTATTTACACTGGCCATATTTTATACAATATTTATTATAAATTAATATTAATTATGAAAATGTGTAAGTTACCTTCGTCTTCATAGTTTCCAAACCTATTAAATGGACCTATTAGCCTTACTATGCAAAGTTAGGTAAATAACTCAAACATTTTTCTTTGAATATTGTTTTTGATATGTAAAAATTATCCACAAAATAATTTAGGTACAATAAAAAGAGGGGTTCTCATTAGAAAAATATAAATTTGTATCTTCATAGAACACTTCTTAAGAAGTACAAAAAGTATCAAGAATTTTAACATATATACTTTAGACTTTAAATTACTTCAATTTTGAAGAAAATAAAGGGGTAATCATGCTTGGCAAATCACCTTACTTATGGTTAACAGAAGAAAAATATTTTTTTTTAAAACATATTCATTTTTAAAAATCTTAGATTAACTCCAAAAAAATTAATATGATAAACAAAAATTCATAATCTGTACAAAATATACAGTGTGTACAGTAAATAAATATAAGGTAAGAAATCAGGAAGTGTGAGTGAGGAAATCTCCTATTAATGGTATCCTAGAATATAATTTGATATTCAGTATCTACTTAAGAATAAAGGGAGAAAAAAATTAGTATCACAAATATTTTAGCATAATAAATAGATGATCTAAATGATGATTCTGTATTAAATACATTTTATATTTATTTTTCAGAGAAGCAAAAAATAAATATCATACATTATTAATGGAGGACAACAGTTACAAACGTAGTGTCAAAGAAGAATTTCATAAAAATAAAGATCTATTCAATTATTTGAATAAATTAAAACTAGAACAAAATAACTTACAAAATAATTTTAAAACATGTTTAAATAAGTTCAACTGCTTGAAAGAGGAGTATTCTAAACTAATACAAATGACAGAATTTCAACATCAAAACTTAGATCAAATTACATCGGTATAGTATATTCTATAACTAAATATATTATTAAAAATTAAAAATTAAAAATTAAATTATAATTTCAGGATCAAATATCTATAAAAAATGAAACAAATACATTATTAAATTTTTTAAACAAAGTATCAAATCAGAAATTAAAATACGAAGAAGATATTTTAGATGAAATAAAAAAACAATTATTTTCAAATAATTATTGTGTTCAGATAAATAATAAAATATCAGAAATTAAAATTCAAAATAAAGAGCATGTATGATATATTATTTCTTCTCTTAAAAATATATTAATTTATTTAATATATAAATATTTTAATATTGAATCTAGGAATTATTATTAGTTGAAGTTGAAAATAATTTATCAAAAGCTTTATTAAAACTTGAACAATGTCGTACAACAAGTTCTAATTTAGAACAAGATATAGAAAAAAATACTAAATATCTGAATGATCAAGGGTTTGCATTATCTTCATTAGATTCTGAATTGAAAAAATTATATATTGAGATTCAAAATAAAACAAAACAAATTGATTTAGAAAATAAACAATTGGAAATGATAAAAAAATTACATAATGTAAGTCAAAAAAATGAATGTAATTAATATTTAATTACATGATATTAAACTTGTATTAGTTGTAATTATTTTAATTAAAATTTAGGATGGTCATATCTTGACCCCTCAAATGCAAATTGATCAAGTTAAAAATAAAATTGATGAAGTAGTAAAAGGAACTAATTTCATAAAGCAATCTTGGATTCAACAACAAAATAAAAACGTACAATTATTAGCTCAACTTAATAATCAATTTAATGAACTAGTAAAAGTACGTAAATGTAAGTACTTATATTTAATATTTATAAATAGGTGCCTATAAAATAATTGTAATTCGTAAGGTTAGATATTAAATTAGTGGTTACAAGGTAAGTGTATTACATAAAATTTCTTTAAATCATTTTTTAGTCAGAATAAATGTTTTAATTTATATTGTTCATGGATAAATTGTTCAGAGGATTTAACATTTAAATTTGAGGTTTACAAACGAACCTGTATTACCAATACCTAATAATGTACTTTAATATGTTAATAAGACATACATATTATATAGGTATATATTTAGACTATTTAGTGTAAGAATTATTGGAATAATCTATGTATTCATTTGAATATAAATTATTCTAAACAAATAAATAGAAATTCATTTAATTTTTAAATATATTCAAAATATGTATTTAAACTGTTACATGTTCGATAGGTAATCTTTAAACAATAAACAAATATTAATCGTTCGCCGGCTTCGATTAGGTAGGTACTACACTTTGATTAACTCATTATTTTTATTTAATTTTCTTACATTTATACGTACTTATAACGCCAAATTAATTTCAAAACAGTTATTATTCTATGTTTATATAAATATATAATATATAATAGGTACGATTCGTCTCTATTGTTATTATAATGAATCTCATCAATTCATCAGAAAAATTGTACAAAATCATAAGATCAATCAATGAAATTAAATCTAGGTAAGTAGTAAGTACTCGAAATAAATGTATCGTCTCAATAAATTTATTTCGTGAAGACAACAAATCAAAAATTCATTGATATTGATAACAACTAGCTGTAAGTCACTTGTAAGTCTGATACTATTTCTAACTTTATAAGCAGTTGATGACATTTGAATAAAAAAAATACCTAACAATTTCTCATGTAAAGTTAAAATTGAACATTTACAGAAATCAAATTTATCTTAGCTTAAAGTGATTTGTACTAATTCAATTTCGCTAGAGTACATTTTTGCTGAGATTTTTGATCGGTCAATTAAAAGTCGCATTAAAATGTTGTTTAACATACTAGTATACTACGTATTACAGAACTTTCTGCTGCTTAACCTAATGTTGATAATAAAAATTACATTTTTAATATATTTCAGTAAATTTGTGTACTCATTAATATTTCAAATTCTATGGGCTTAGATAAATTTGACAATAAGTGTAAAACTATTCAAGCTGAACTACGAAATCAGCACAATGTTTATAACGTTTTGAAAATTAACTGAATGTTCTGATTAATTTAAAATAGTATTCGGTACAAGTATAAAAAAAACCAGTAAAAAATTTCCCAGAAAATAAATCACCAATATGAAAACTAAGGAAAAAATGTGACAAGCACATTAAATTTAATTAAGTTTAAGTATAAACAATTTATAAAAATAATTGTATATCATTGATTATTTTATAAATTAGGTGTATATTATGATAATATATATATATAAAAAAATATTAATGAAATAAAATTAATGTATCTTAAAATTGTTTAAGAAATTATATTTAAATTAAGGCAATGAGATGGGCACATTAAATGTAATTAAACATTAAGCTTCCCTAAGTTAATTATTTTGTTTTTGTATTATTGTGAGTTTAGTTAGAGGGTTATGGACAATTAGATTTTTTACGCATTTAAATTAATAAACTGGAAAAAATAAACATTTTTTTTAATAAACAAATATTAATTTTGAAAAAAAATTTTTAATTTGTTAGCATCTTTTTATGTTCTGCGGGAAAAATTATTTCAATTTTTTTTTTTATCTTATTGGTCCTATAAAATGCATGTTCATTTTGAACTGTACTACGCATTAAGCCAAGAAATATCGAAAATCTATACTCTACAAAACATAGAAAAAAGGCTTTCGAATTATTTAGTAGTATGTTTATTTTTGCCAACTAATTGGCATTATTCATTGTCGTATAAGTAAAAAAAAATATTTTCGACCTTGATATCGATGACTCGTGCATCTGTATATATATAGTATGAAACATGGTCGTCACGTCCACCTGTAACCGGGTGATATAAAATCTACTGTTATTGAATTCGCACAAAGAAATGTTAAAAATATGAAAATTTAAACCATTTTTTTCTTCTCACTTGTTCGTTTATTAAAAAATTATGAATAATTTCTTAAGGGTACCTAGTTTTGAGTTAAATTGATACCTTTGATAATTTTTAAGGCGTTTACATTATTATTAAGCAAGTATAAGAATATATTAACTTTTATTTGGGTGTGGGAGAAGGATTTTTTGCTCAATTCATTTATAATAATATATGAGTTTATCAATTAATAGAACGTTACAACAATGAAATCCCTTGAAACGTGTTGTTGATGAGTTACATAATATGTACCACAATAGTTAAATTTTAAATTAATTTAATTATTAAATATTTAAATACATTAATAATCTACCAGTTACTTTAAAAAACAATTAAAACCCATTCGAATCACTTATATTTATATTTTATTTTATAAGAATGTCTGTTGTATAATGTATAATTGTATAAATAATAAATATTAACCTTGTTAGTTGACATTTTTGCCATAAAGTTACTTTGGTGAATTATGAAATAATAGTTTTATTAAAAACTTGATTACCTACGTAAAGAGATAAACGACTTAGTGCTCGGTCTCCTTCCGTGTTTACCTTCTATTATAAACTCTGTGACAGATGCAGTGTTATTAATAATTATTTATATTAGATGAGTCGGTGATCTAATTGTCATCATGAACTAATTATATCTTATTTATATTATTAGGTGATTATAATTTTCCTGTTATTTAATGACGATCTTTTATAAGAAATGAAGCCATTTCTCACATTGGTAAAATTGAATTGTAAATGTATTAGTTAATTTTTCTTATCTTTATTAGAAACAATTTAATATGATAAAAATCTTCAACATTCTATTATTCAGTTCGGATAGTTTTAACATTTCATGTGAACTATTTACTTTGATTCTAAATTCTAACTGATTACGACGCTTTGTATAGTTGTATAGTATCATCTAGCTCTACTAATTAAACTTACCGTCTTTGAAAATATTAAACCTTTGTATTTTAATGATACTGTTTATGATAATGTGCATTAAAATCATAATATTATAAGATTATCATCAACTATTTATTAATTGGAATCTTGTGTTTAATATACCTATTTCATATTAAGAGTTCGGTCAATGTCTTTTATTCTAATGTTAATAGAATTATGATTAGTTAGTGTAAGAAAAATAAACATTATATTAGTAAGCATCTAATATGATTTAGTTCGATTTTGAAGAATTTATAATTTTTAAGGAAAATATTGTTCATATGTTATTCAAATTTCAAACACTTTTTTACAAACATCTTATAGTATTTTTTCTAATTTACGTGCTTAATTTAAATTTCGATCCAGAATTAGATCGTAAAAATTATATTTTTAAAATTTAAAATTTTTTAAACTTTATTATTAAGTTATTTTGAAATTTCTTTAATAAAAAAAAATTCCATACCCATCCCTTCTAAGAATTATGTTTTTTTTAAAAATTATTTTGTATCTGAAGGTTTTGTAAATTATTTTGATCGATATTTTTCTATAGTCTATCTAGCAGCAATTAATCATTTAATCATGATTATAAAGAAGTTCTTTATAATCGTGTATTTAGCTATGCCAAGTTTGTCAGACCATTGAATGTCCACTTCCTCAAATAACTCTATTAATTATAAATTATTCTGAACAAAAGATATTATTTTGCTCGCGGTTATAATTTTATAACTACTTAGTATTTATAATTTATATAGAACAATAGAATATATTGTAAAACAACAAACATTTATTTTTATCTTACAAATCTAGTATGATCCATGTTCATTATTGGATAATACTTATAAATATTTAATTAATTTGGAATTATATTTTATTTATTTTGAAATATTTACCGATAATATGCATTAATTTTGAAAATGTTTACTTTTAAATAATATACAAATAATTTGAATTGAACAACAAAAAAAAAAAAAAAATTGTTTTGGTGCCTACTTAGCTATAATATTATAATAAATAAAAAACTGAGCCCTTGAATTAATATTTAAAAGAATCTTAAAAATTAAATAGTTTCTCTTACAAAAGGTATTTTTATTAATAAGGATATTGGCCGTAAAAATTGTTTGGAAATTTTATTTAATCTGATTTATTTTTAGATGTTTTAACTAATATAATTGACAATTGTTAGTATTAAGATTTGAAAATGTATTGCAAGATTTAATATATTATTTTATAATATTTAATATAATATGTAGGTACACCGTACACACTACACGTCATATATATAATTCTAGTTTCTAACTGTTTTTGAATTTTCCAAACATTTTATTTTGATTTGGCATTAAACGGATGTAAAACTGGGTTTTTCTATTCATTTATCTTGCTTTCAATGACGGAAATATGAAAATGACATATCATATATTAATTTAGTTTACTACTTAGTCTAAACCTTAGTGCTAAGTTTTTAAAGTATAATACATTGAAATGTATAATTTACGTCCAAAAAAAAAAAAATTATAAAATATTACAGCTGTTATCGAATCTCAGGTTTTTCACCTAAGATCCTCAAGTGTGAACAAAAAAATGTATCGTTAAATATTGATAAGTGTAAAGTAATGTACTCGTATTGTGCAATTGCACTCCATTACTCCAAGTCTATTACTTCATAATTATTATTTGAATAGGTGATATTTTGCTTAATCGAATAGTTAACACTTAACACAATATTTTAAGTTTCAATGAATATTATTTAAATGTTTCAAAGCATTGTAATCAATTCTAGGATTCATTAGTGAAACCTATAAAACTTTTACTAAATCTATTGAATATTTTTATAAATATATTATTAATAGCTTTATGTATAAATTATTTTTTATTATATTAATTAATCTTTATTCTGTTATTTATATCGATTTTTTCTGTTTAAATATACATTGTTATTATATTTATATTTAAAACTGTTATTGGATATTAGCCCGTCTGAATTAATAATGAATAAATATTTCAGATGATTTAATAATGGAAACAAAAAATAAGAAACTAGATGAAGAAATTGCATCTTTATCCAAAGAAGTTTATCAATATAAACAAACACTTACAAATATGAGAAATACAATTTTAAAACTTAATGAAAAATTTAGCCAAAATAAAGAAAAAAGTAATATGCTTTTGAGTGAAAATGAATGGATTCAGTGTTCTTATTTAGCTGAATTGAAGGTTAATGTGAACTTAAGAATAAGTAATGTTTTGCCTAATTATAAATCCATACAAACATATTATTTATTTATTTATTTATTTATTTACACATATTAATACAGTGATACTTCCATTTAAAAAAATATTTGTGAAAACTATCCTAATATAACTAAAATGTATTTAATTATATTTAAAAACATTTCTATTCAACACACATTTTTTTTATTACCATGAGACTTTCTAGTTTAGAAGTTTCACTGTAGCTTAAAACTTTAAATTTTTAAATATAATGAACAATATATGTATTTACTATCTATATAGGTTCTTAGCTACAGTGAAACTTATAGACTAGAAAGAAAACTATATAAACTTCTAAACTTTATAAGAACCTAACCCAAAATCACAATTTTATAATTATTTAACATAATACATATTTTTATAGTTGTATAATGTATGGTATATTTTTATACAACTAATCACTTTGTTTTATATGTTTGATTTGTTTTTAATAATTATATTGATAGCAACTAACAAGATACATATGTTTATCTACTTAAGTGCTATGTAATTTGTTTTAGGAAAATGAGAAACTTTGTTTAGAATATATAGATCAATTAAAGTTATTAAAAAATGAATTGAATGAATTAAAAAATGTTTATATGGAAAAACAATATGAAAGTAAATCATGGGACACCAAACTTCAATTACTTATTGAAATTAAAAATGAAATTAAAAACAAAGAAGGTGATTTAGGTGATATTGATATAATGAAAAATGAAATTCATAGAATGCAGGTAAAAATAATAATAAAAATAATTTATTGATTGAGTTTTTATTATATATATATATATAATGTTATTTTCTTATAGATAAGAGAAAGTCAACTGAAAAAAATATTGGAAAAAATAATGTTAGACTTGGAAGTATGCATATCAAGACGTGAAACAATTTACAATAAAGTTGCAGCTAAAGATATTCGTTTAAAGGGAAAAAATGAAGCTAAACAAAAATTTTTGAAGAAGCTTGATTATCTACGAATAAATATCAAAAAAATTAAAACTGTAACTATACTGATGAATTTTTTTAAAACTTAAATTATTTTATCTAGTTGTGTTTTATTAAATGGTATATTTTGTCGAATAAAATGGTCTAAAATTGACTGTCGGAGCTGTATAAAATTATAAATATAGATACTATATTTTTTTTAATTAAATTGAATTCTTGAAATCAATGAATTATTAAAAGAAATGTTTAAATGTTAATTAAACATTTTTTTTTTTTTTAAGGCCAATAACCTGTTAAAAAAACTATAAATCATGGGTGTTCTTAGGGGGTTAGGTATTTACCCCCCCTCCCGAAATTTTAAAGAATTTAATAAAAAAGTAGTTCTTAATATTAGTATACATTTAAAATTACCTTAAAATGTGTGATAGTAAAAATTTAAACCCCCGAAAATAAATTTAAGCACACCTATTTATACCTATTTTATTTTTATAACATTTATTTATGAATTAAATTTGTCATAATTTATTTTAAAGAAAATTTATAACAAAATAAGTAGGTACTCAGTAAACTATGATTATTTTATTTTTATAGCTTTTAAAGATACATTTTTCATAAAATATATATATATATAACCTTAGTTACAATTAAAATTTTTTTACTATTTTACAGGAATGCAAAAAGTTAGATTTAAATAAAAGTGTTTTAGAAAATGATAAAATGAAATTGGAAAATAAACTTACATATTTAAATAATAATATGATCAGTATTCAAAAGAGTATCAACGATATCTTAAAAAATATTGAAGATATTGGAGCTACAAAAATTAAAGTATGTATTATTCTTAAAATTTATGTTACAAGTTATTAAGCTTATAGTTATTAAGATATTAGATACCTATAAGACAGTGACGTAACTAAGACTTATTTTTTAGGTAGGGTGTACAACACCTAACTCTTTTCTCAATGGTTGTACAAATACTTTAAGATTTCTATACATTTTGAACATTACTTAATAAATCACTAAATCAGTGAAAAACTATGAAGTAATGCTAGACCTTTTCCTTATAAGAGGTTTCCTTAAAGTTTTTTCTTATTAAAGTATATTTTGATGCCATTGGAACTATTTTTTAAATTATGAGTCGTAATTTTAATTTGAAATCTGCGAAAGCATGAATTTAAAACTAAGCCCTCGACATTCATCGTGTTAATTAGAATTGCTTTTAAAAACTCTCTGACCATCGCCACGGTACCACTCTATAAATCATTATTATGTTTAGAATTAAAGTTAATTATAAGTAAACAAATTGGGTAACTAAACTGTTTTTTGTTAACTACTTATAAATATTTATAATAGGTTTATTAATTTGTAAGTAAAGTACATTTTGTGATTGTACTCTCACAATATTAATTCATAATTATATTTGTCTTATTTTAGAACATTCATATATTAAGTTACAAACAAAACTATGCCAAATTTTTGGATGCGGTTAAAAAAGGACAATACCGTTTACTGATAAAAAATGAATTGAAAATGGATGATGAATTCTCAGACGAGTGGAAGAAAAATTCTGATTTAATAAGTGTCGTAGACGCATTGAAAAACGATTTTCCATACTTGGATTTTCAAATTACACGTTTATTATATATTCTGAAGTCTATTGATAATAAGTCTTAGTTGACAGTAATTTATAAAAATTTAACTGATAAATATAAACTGTAGATAGTAGTTATTGAGAGACTGTCAGCACAACATATATTTTCTTTCTTAGACACGGGCAACATGTTTTTCGAAACGCATTCACGTAAAAAAATGTTTATACATTTTTAATTATCTTAAGGTAAAATTACCTATTACAAAAATTATATTGGATAATATTTTTGAGTGTTTGACATACCGGATTTTTATTTTATTATTATTAAAAATTATTTTTAATTAAAAAATAAAAATAATCATAGATTTTAATGGATATTGAATTTTTTAAGACAATATTAATTATACAAATTAAATAATAGTACTATTCATTTGTAAATCTTCAGATCAAATATCAATTAATATTATCCTTGCAAATTTGCAATAATGTTCTATCAACATATGATATCATTAACAGTTAATTCGTATTATTATAATAATTGGTACTTGTTTGTTACCTATTACCCCACGTCCCCATCACCAACCCATATGAAATATACTTCTTGATCTCTTTATCGTTCATTTAACTATGCTACTTTTTATAAAGTGTTTCAAATAATGGAAATAATTATTATAAATTATTGATAAATAATATTATCATATTTAAATAATATTTTTTATTAACATGTAAAAATCTAAAGATCCTCAAAATATTACATATTTTATTTTTTCTTACAATATAATTGTTGTTGTAAAAATTAAACGCCAGTATTAAATATAGCGGGAAACAGCTCATTAAAATTAATTTTTACAATATTTTAAAATAAGTTAATACTTTTTGTAAGATAAGAATGAACTTTAAATAATAATTTTATTATACATAGCCGATCCGTCATGGCTTCGCCGGTGATTAGTTGTTTATTTTGCTCTCGGACGAAATCATGTATATTGACATGTAGAGTTTTTTATTCAGATTTTATCGTTTAATAATGTGATCGGCAAGTAAATATAAAAATGGTTAATGAAAACGTGTTGAAATGTTTTTAGCGGTATTAAGTATTTGGTATAACCTTTTGAAAAAAAAAAATGTTAAATAGTGTCGCCAGAAAATTGGAAAATTTAAATACAAAACACTCTCTCCAGACAAAAAAACAAAATAAAAATCAGGTGATGTGGTAGCATCCAGGAGGGTATTTGGAACAGCTTTGTGAAAAAAAATGAAAAAGATAAATAGTGTTATCACAAAATGGGAACATAAAAAAGGCCTGTTTTTGCGGGCCTCGCAGAGAGCCCAAAAATTAGCTTTGTTTTTTAATTTTTAAAGAACTTAATTATTAATATTATTATTATTTTTTGAGTTAATTAAATCTTACCATAAAACAGTGTGAATAAATGCATGGTATAAATAGATACATAATATCTTTAAATTAATTTAGATATTTTTAAAATTAAGAGGTACTAAAACCTTCAACAGTTTATCAGGTATAATAGTAAAAAATTTCAGCCAATTTGGTTCAGTAGTTTTTTCGGTTAGCGCCTTTAACCCCTTACAATTTTATATAGTGCCTAGTATAGATATAGATAATATAGTAACAAGCCGAAAACGTCGAAAACATACCAACACAATTAACATAATAAAATACAATATCAAGTATTGTAAAAGTATTTACCTTTTTTTTTTTTTAAATAGATGACATACTAGACTAACTCACCTACATGTAATAATATATAGAAATACAGAGATATTGATTATGAAGATCGAAATTTTAGATTTGAGATTTAAAGCTGCTGACATAAAATCACTTGATGGCAGGATGATACATCTTATACGGGTTGGTCGGGGGGTGATAACATACAAGTACTATATTTTATTATTATTAATCTTATTGTATCTTATTACTATCTTATTACTAATACCTAGATGACTGTATAACATATATCTGGCCAGTGGCTTACATATGGTGAGGAGGTCGAGATTAATCCCCCCAGAGTAATAAAATACTCTGTACGACTGTATGACTATACCTATAATCAATGATAATACTACTAATAATACTACTAATAATAAAAGTATTATTTAGAAATAATAATAATCAATAATTCATATTACAGATAAATATAAAACAAAAATTGAATTAAAACGTTTAAATTAAAAGTATAAACCATTACATATTGGACATTAATTTAAATTAAACTATTTTTATAACCAAAGCCTAGAAATTTCTTCATTTTGAATTTTTGATATGCATTTAAATTTAAATTTAGAAATAAATGTTATTCATGTGTCCGATGTCCTAGCACTTTTGATTTTAATGTAATAATTATCGCATTACAAAATTCTTTATAACTTTAATAAATTAAAAATATTGGGAATGCTTGAATTGAATATTGAATTAAAATGCTTCACGACTGTTAATATTGTGTATTACTGGATAATTTTACCTATACACGAGGAGGAAATAAGGCATAATTTATGACATAGTTAGAACTAAATTACCTATCTATTAAATAAGTTGCAAATTTAGAAACTTTATATTTAATATTTGAAACATCACATGACATTGGACCAAACACACAAGTATTTTCTATTTTATTTGGGCTGAGAAACGGTTAATCAAAAATGTACTTAAAAAATTTATCTATTTTAGAAAATCGATCATTATATTCTGAGGATAAACCGATTCACTTGGGTTTTTCACCACGAACTTTGACCAAAATGTAAGCAGTAACCTTTTTAGTTGTTGAATTATTATTCTCATGGGAAATTTATAAATAGGTACCTATCGGAATTGTAAGGTTAGTTAATTTTTGGATTCCATCGCCTACATAGTTGATAGTTAATCAAAAAGATCTGTGATAGAACTTATTATGTTAGATGAAGTCGCGAAAGCGTGAAGTAGTTACTTCAATAATCATGTACTTATGTTGTTTAAATTTCCCCATGAGAAAACTGAACGGACGCCATTGATATTTATTAGTTATTAGATATAGCTATATCCGGTAATAGGTAGGTACTGTCTAGTAGGCATTAAAGGGATTTTATTAAATGCTTACTAATTATTTTGTTGGTTATAAATTATAATTATGAATATCCGCTGTTGGATTCAAACTAATATATCGCTATAAGAATAAGAGCATATTGCTTACATTGATCCTACGACTGACGATGTGTTAGCTACTTACGGGATTTAATGCCTAATATGTATATGTCTTCAAAATGTGTTTAGCCGACGAATTTTTTTTAGTTTTCAATGGTTTTGTGAATTACAAACATAAACCTATACATTATATAGGTAGGTAATTAAGATAATAAAGTGTGGCCTGACGCCCGTCGATAACGATCCCAAACGAAAAAATCATTCTCATATTATGACGCAATCCGGCGTATACATGTAAATATAATAATTAATAAGAAATAGGTAATACCTAAATACCTAATCAATATGACAATATAACACAACACTTTATAATAATGTTTCAATATTGCCACAGTAGTATAAATAGTATTTATATTTTATAATCAATTGTGTACAATGTAGATACTCAGTGACTACTGACTACCTAGTGTTAATTGACTCTATAGTCAATTGTGAATAGGTACACTAATACAGTCATTGTCATTAGAAAATTAATTCATTCGGTTCATCGTAGTTTGCGGTTTAAACTGTTTTAGTTTGTTATCGCAATAATTATTCGAAATTCGCAATAACAATAAACAATAATATTACTTTTATCTTATATCACGGTATACAATAATATTATTATGTCGATTTATATACAGTGTGGCCTGGGATAGTGATAACAATAAATAATGGTGAGCACGGGAGCACGACAAACTTGTTTGACTGCATTTCCAGTCATTACAGCTGCAGCTGCACTGCAGTCCTACTCGTGCCGCCCCAGCGTGTTGTTTTCTCTTTTTACTACAGTATTTTTTTTATCATAACATAGGTAGTACATAGTGATTGTTGTGTCCGGGCTATAATTTAATTATTTATTAATTACTAATATATATATTTTTTTTAATGCTATATTTTGCGATCAAAATGTATATTATATATAATCTTAAGAGAACAATTTATATGTTCCTGCTTTTATAGTGCTTATTAATTATACTAATATTTTTGCTTTAATATTTTCTTTATCAAATTTTATTTTTTTAACAGTATTTATTACAATTATTCAATGTTTAAATTTAAATATTAGTTTTATTACCGTCGAATATTTCGATTTGATGTGTAAAGCAAATGAAATTTTCTCATTTGCCAAATGTATTACCAGTTATATCCAGAATGTGTACATAAATTCGGAATATTTCTAAATATCTTATTGAATAAACGCAAATAATAACAGGTTAGTATCATGGATTAATATTATCCTAGTTCATAGTTAATGTACAATTTTAAATAATAACTGCTGATAAGTTATTTTTATTGATTAAAGAGACGGTTGGCCGATATAGTTTGTTTGTTTAAATTTGAAACTAATGATTATATTTTGTATTAATTAACTATTCTGTTAGCTGCTGCTATATTTACTTAGTAATGGGTATTTGAGATTTACCTATTTTATAATAATAGGTAGCTGCTTATTTAAATAGGTAACTACATGCACATATTTCTTATTTTATTTAAAATTAAAAACAATTCATTTTTAAATTATTGAAGAACATTTTAATGATAGTATTATGTGTTGACATTGTGAAACTGATAAAAATAAATTCAGTTAAGAAAATATTTATTTGATAATGTTTTGTGTTGATGGAGAAAATTTGAATTCAAACTTATAAAAAATAATTACATTTGAAAATAAATTTGATTGGCATGGATATACATATTTCAGTTTTCATTATAATTATTTGCTCGCCTACATAAATTACAAATTATATTAATTTTAATATTTGTATGTAAATACAATATAATATTTAATCGATGATTAAATAGTAACTAAGTTCACAAGCACAAATTTTAGTTTGTAGCGAGGTTAGTAGTCACATGACAATATTTTATAAATTACCTCTCTACCCTCTACAGTGACACTATCAAAAGCCCTGACCGTGTTTATGGCTAGACCAACATTGTATAGTTAGATTACAGGTACATATCAAACTATTCTGGGACTTATAAATGTCACCATTAATAAGGAGCTATGTAAATTTATACTCACACACATAAAATGTATGTGTGTGTGTATTAATAAATCT